AACATTCTTAGGTCTCTGTGAATGGATGAAACTTCATTGTTTCATTTAAGCATTGTAGGATTTCTAGGAGTCATAGAGCGTCAATGAAGCTGAGAGAGAAATCCTTCAGGTCATAGATGTTTAAATGGGATTTTTTTCATTATTAAAAAAAAAAAATAATGAGCAAACAGCTTATTACTCATACTGAAATGAAACAGGTATAGTTCTTACCGTAACTGTTGTGTTGATGTTTAAGTATACAACCTCTGAATGAAAAGCTTTTGAGTTTATGTAATGTCATGGTCATAATTTCTTTTTTTGGATGTGATAAATTGTCCTGTGTTTCTCTCTACTCCTCAAAGGGAAGTACTGGACAACTGTTTTCAAAACAGAAGTACAGTGGAAAGTTGTTTTGAGACTAAAATAGAGAAGCCCCAGTCACTTCTCAGAATAGGGTAATAGGCTGTTTCAGGGAAAGCACTTAAAATCTCTGAACATGGCACAAGGCAGAGACTGGGACCAGAGATGTCACTTGAAAGGGTATGCTTCTCTGGTGGCTCCATTTGCTTTTAATTGACTTGAAAGACTCTTTGTGAACTCCTGGTAGTCCTTCCTGTTCTTTTTTTTTTTCCTCTAATTTTTCTTTGGCTTCAAAATTTATTGTACAGTGTCTTTGAAGATTTCACAAGGGCCTTTTTACAGGCAAGTTGTTGAAATAGCTGTTCTATTACTGAATACACCTTGATAGTCTCTTTCCTTGTTTTGTTGCCACTTTTTGCAGTCAGGTATATGACATGGGCTAGAAGTTTATTTTTCTCTCATGTGATGATTTTCCTCTGATTTTATTTTGCTTATTTGATGCTTTTCTGTAATGGACACACTGTGTTTTTGTCCCACATACAACATACCCGATGGGTTCTTTAAAAACAAATAATTGTAACCATGATTTGCAGGACTGTTTGCTTTTCAGGGGGACTAGAATATTTAGGATTTGGTATGAATGTATTTAATGTTTTTACTCAATTGGCATGAAAGTAGGCTTTTGTAATGGCTTGGAATGTAAGTTAGGTAGAGCAGAGAAATGCTCCTGCTTTACCCATAATGTAAGTCTTGTGATCTTTCCTATTGGTCATATTTACTTAAGCATGTACTGGGTGAATTTTGCTTTGGGTTTTACCATAGGCTTGTATCAGAATTAGTGCAATGATTTGAAATAGTCTAGTCCCTGTGGAATATTCATTTGAGTGGGCTTGTCTCACACCAAGAAAACTGGAAGTTCTGCTGTGCCATCAATATAAAAGATTGAGTGCATCAGTGTCACCAAAGTGGCACAGCCAAATTTGAAACACTTTTGGGTCTTCATTGCCATGTCATTATCAGAATTTTGGAGGTCACAGAACAGCCCATATCAGTGCAGCAGACACTTGTGCAAACATGTTCAAAAGTAGTGATTATGTGCAACAGAACAGTATTCTGGCTTGGCCATTAATCCTCTTCCTGGCCTCTCCCCCAAATACACACTGCTTTGCCTGATTTGAAGAAATAGTGTTAAGGCATTGTAGGCAGAGAATGAGGTAAAACTACTTGACTGTCTGGTAGGATGTGATAATGGGGCGATTATTTTATTTAGAAATTCATTAAGTGACTAGTGTTATACAAATTAATGTTCAGGCTTCTCAGGTGTTTTATTTTTCTTAAGTTAACTTCAAATGCTTTTTATTTTGATTGGATGGACAAGTTGCATTTGTGATGAATCTTTTTTTCTTTCATTTTCTCATTCTGAGACAGTGGTTGACTTAGCACATTTTGCATAAGTGCTTTTATTTTACATTGCCATACCACCTCAGACACAGGAAAATTTCAGTCCTAGAAGTGTGGGATCTGTTCACCCCTGTAAACGCAAGTTTCCACTAGACCAGACAGGATTATGAAATGTACATCGAGGGAAGACTAGAGTGCAGGCTGTGTGTTTGAAAATGCTTTTCTTGTGCTTTCAGTGATGCTTCACGAGGTTATTCTCTATTTTGGGAGACAAAGGGCACAAGGGGAGGAATCTCATATTTATCTTAGTATAGAAAACACTTTCTTTGCAGTTATCTGGGTTTTGCCTTGTTTTCTTCTGTGTTTTCCTGCTATCAGTGGGCATGCTGCTCTAAGCCTTTTAAGATTAGCCCATGGAAGGAGACAGCATTTTTACTTCTTGAGAGAGGGAAACTGTTATATTGGTTCTCATACACCTAGGTTGTAATGTCTAACTGAGAAGTCTGCTAATAGTCAGAAAATTACTCCTTCCAACCAGTTAACTGTAGAAGTAGGGAAAGATAATATGCAAATAGCCTTTTTAATACATCTGCTTTAACTGAGAGCTAGCTTTTTCTCATTTTTAACTGTGGTCCTAGCTTCATCGTGAAGCATAGATGTTATTAACAGGAAGAACAAACCAGCTGAGGGATGAGTAATGATTTCTGAAGAAATTACTTCCCTTGGTAGAAATAACTTCTGTCTCTGATGTGGATTTGCATTTTCACTTAGGCTGTTTAAAACTTGCCAGAATTCAGCAAAGAGGTGCTTGGGTGGTGCTTGGGGTTTTTTGTGTCAGGAGCCAGTGTTTTTGTCCTAGCTTGCCTTGCAGCCTCACAAATGCACCTGTTTGGGAAAGACAATAACTTTTTTGTAATTCTCTATATTTTGTCACTTTTATACCTAGGAGCACAAGATTTTATCAAACTGACTTTCTTATAGTTAGCAAACACTGTTTTGGTAGATACTGAATCATTTTAGGCTTTTCATCTCTTGACTTCCATGAATCCAAGTAGGTTTTGTTCGGACAGTTGAGGTAAAGAACAGTCTCCCTCAGTTTATTATTTCCTGTTGTTTTGTGTTGTAGAGGGTGCCTGGCAGTGGTGCACTATGCCTGTCTCAGGCAGCAGTGTCTCCTCACCAGAAAGTGCCAGCCTTTTCCATTTCATGAGTCTTGTGTCTCGCTAGCTTTCTTGACCCTTATGTGTGCTGTATTACGTCTTTTTACATGGAGAATAACAGGAGAAAAATGTACATATTTTCTTAGCCCAGGGAGGCATAATGCCCTATGGCATTAATTTTCCTATCCTGTTCCTTATAACATCCTGCAGGCTTTGTCTTACTCTTCCTCAATGACCTGTTGCAGGTAGTTTACTGCAGATTAATTTTCTTGCACTGAGCTTTGAGGGCTTGTTGGGGGTTAGTAAAGTCAGTGACTGAGACCCTTGCAGCGTCTCACAGGTGTGGAGAGGACTCTGTTTGCTCATGCACGGACCTGTGTGTCTTTTTTGTTGCAGTAGAAGTAAATAATTAAACAGAGCTTTGTTTCTTTGCACAAGCTTTTGGAAGCAGCAGTGAGGAAAAAAAGAAAGGAAACTAATGGTGTACAATTCAGAATTTGTTGCAGTTATTTCTGTGATCGTGAGCTGGCTACTTTTGTTCCAAAAAGTTAATTTAGAACTTGTCTCAGATGGGCTTGTGGATGTTCTAGAGGGCTGTGAACAATATCTCTTGACGGCATTTTCTACTAATAGTTTCTAAAACTTTGGTTTATTATTTTTAATCTCAGGATTGTAGGTTTTGATGAAAAACATGTGGCACTGAATTATTTAAAAACATTTATTTTGTGCATTAGTGTTGCAAAGGAAAAAAGAGGAGCTGTGAAAGGACAGCATTTGAGGTACTCGTCTTGTTTGGTTTTGGGGGTTTTTTCTTCCCCTCTAGTTACAAAATGGTAATTTGCTCAGGACACTTTTTTCTGAACATTCAGTTTTACAAAAACTGCCACGGCAGGTTTTGATAGCAATTGAGACTGCTTTCTTTACTCTTCAAAATAAGGTTGTTAGTGATATCCTCTAACTTTCCAGGAAGACTTAAATCTGTTCTGTTGTTGAAGAAGTAGCAGTATTATGAAAGTATCTAACAATTCTGATTGAGATCAAGGTTCTTTATTCAATCAGGACAGGCAGAGATGTTTGGGGAAAAAAAAAAAGGGTATTCTAGATATTTGTCAAAAAGACAAGCATGTGGCAACATACTGCCTAACGCTTCCTTTCCAAATATAACCGACCACAAGCTAATGAAATATGTCTTGCTGTATTGGATACAGCAGCTGGAGTGCTCATGTCTGGTTTGTCCTGATTATAGATACTGAAAGCAAGAGATGGATCACCAAACCAGATAGTCTGTTCTGGATAGCATGGTGTGACTTCTGTGTTGAGGGATCATTTGCTGTAGTGCTAATAGCCACATTATCCTGTTGTCCTTTATCAATATGTCTTGAAGCGTTCAGGCAAATAGTTGAGACTTGACTGCTTTGGTGTCCGGCTGGTTTGCTTGTTACCAAAGTTTTGAGGATACTGCTGTGTCAGAAATTATTCTGACAGGTCTTTAAAGAATTTTCACTACTGTTCTTCAACTGCAAGAGGAAATTTCATTCCTTCCAACTTCATTATCATTTTCTTCGGAAGAACATCTCTAGGGCTGTGAATGAGCAAGCTATAACAAAACAAAAGACATCTGTGATTTTCCTCAGCCTCCCTGGTTTCTCACGTTCCATTTCTATTGCAAAGCCCTACCTAGCCTTTCTTCATTTTGATACACATTACCCTTTTGAGCCTGCTGCCCATCAGTAAAGCAGCCAAATTGCAGCAGAAGTATTCTCATCAAGTACCTGGTAGATTTTCCCCTCTTAGTAATAGAGGGAGAGCCACTGTGTCCTTGATTATTCGAGTCTCTGAATCAATATGGGAAAATACATATTGGGGAGGAGTTATATCTTTCTCCCATTCCCTTACACTTTGTTTAAAACCTGCCAGCCCCTCTGAGTAATTAATCAGTCATGGAAACACTGACCCTAGGTTTTGGACAGAGAAAGTATTTAATGCTTAGCTTAAAAAGTAAAAGCAAAATCCCATACCCCACCAAAGAAGGACATCTGTTTCTAACTTCAGCTTTTTATTTTTTTATCTTTCATTTTTTTTTGTTGGTAAATCTCCCAGACAACAGCAGTTCTGTAGAGAGTTTAAATATGAAGGAATGGCAGGACGGGCTAAGGGCACTTCTACCGAACATTAACATCAACTTTGGTGGACTGCCCAATGCTTCTTCCCCCTCCAACGCCAACCACAGTGTACCAACGTCCAACACTGCCACCACCGACAGCCTGAATTGGGACAGCCCTGGCAGCTGGATGGACCCCGCAATCATCACAGGTAACCGTTTCTCACTCCTTCAGCTCCACTGGCAAACCATCGAATGGGTATTTGGCACAAACTGATTTACATCTGGAAAAAAAAAAAAAAAAAAAAAAAAAGTCAGTATGCGGTGGTCTCTTCCAGCTTCCATCCACAAAATCTCAAGGGTCCAGGAATTTTTGTGGAACCTTTAGATATAACAGAGCGTCACTTAGGCCTTTGCATTGCATGCCCAGGACCTTTGCAGGCAGTCAGGTGCATCAGTGCTTTCCTGTAGGGTCAATCTATAAGGTGTCCCTTGTGCTGGATGGCATGTCCGGTATGTGCGTCGCTGGTCCTGAGGCACTGAAGGCAATCACTGGACTTGGTTATTTAAAAAGGGACATACTCCACTTGTTTATAAAGCTCTCTTTTATAAGGCTATCTGGTTGTGTCTCCCTGTTAGAGAGGCTGAAGCATGATTCAAGTAGGCAGAATAAAAGGTCAAGCGTGTAGTGTACTGGCAGCTTGGTGTGGTAAGGTCATGTTGACAAGGATGCAGTTCTTGAGCAGAATGTTTGATAGAAAAATGTGTGTTTTATGAAGAAGTGCTCTGAGGGTGAACTTTCTCATATCTCAGTTTAATGTTAAATATTTTTATGGGCAGGGTAATTATACATAATAATGTAAAATGCATTTTCTGTACAAACTAATCATGTTTTTTCATTATTGCTTTTTGCTAGGTTAAATTGACCTCCTTCATGGTCAACTTATTGCTTTTCCTCTGACTTGCCTGTATCCCTGTTTTTTCTTCTTTTCTTAGGTATCCCAGCCTCCACAGGAAACAGTTTAGACACTCTTCAAGATGACAATCCTCCACATTGGCTAAAATCTCTTCAGGCCCTCACAGAGGTGGACGGCCCCAGTGCAGCGCCATCACAGACGCACCACAGTAACCCCTTCGGCACACAGATCCCTCTGCACAGAGCCAGTTGGAATCCTTACTCTCCTCCTTCAAACCCCACCAGCTTCCATTCCCCACCTCCAGGCTTTCAGACAGCCTTCAGACCCCCCAGTAAAACCCCCACAGATCTACTACAGAGCTCAGCGCTGGATCGTCATTAGGAAAGGAAGAAAAAGAAAAAAAGAAAAATAAGACCCAAAACGTTAGAAATGCAGGAAGTGTCCCACCCTGACTCCTCCCCACGCCCACCTACTGTTCCCTGTCATATCTTTCTTTCTGAAGAATCCAGTTCCTGATCAAACTTCCCCCATAAATGCAATGCCATCACAGGGTCATGACCATTCTTTTTGTTAAGTTTCTGCAGAAACAGTGTTTGAAATACACTGTTTGAAATACTTTCTAACCATTCTAAGAAAAAAAAAAAAAAAGAGAGAAATCAAAATGCAGTCTCAATGCTTAAGGAGAATATTACTGTCTTACGTCTTTTGCACATGAGTATTTCTGCCTAGTGGAAAAGTGTCAATCTGCAGTAGGGGGAAAAGTGCAATGCAGAATCAAATGCAAGAACATAAAGTTATTTAATTTAAATGAAGTTACTGAACATGTGGGACAAGCAGTGGCCCAGCATTTATTTTGCATTCAGTGTGGCACTACACAGGGAAATTGCTATGTTGGGGTTCGTTGTTTTTTTGTTTTTGGTTTTTTTTTTTTTTGAGCAGGGGATTTTATTGCATCAGTCAGAGTTTGACATGAAGTGTGTTGAAAGACAAAACACTTGTAGCTATGAGTAACTGGCATGTTGCTAGAGTGATTTAAAGAGGGGAGAATAAGATTTTTCTTTAATTTTGGCTTTAGATTTCAAGTAAACTTTAATGTTTTAAAAGTATTCACAGATTTAATACCTAGTGTATACGTAATATAATTATAAGCAGCTGAAACACGAGTGATATTTACTTCAGTCTTTCTGTCTCCTCTGTCAGTCTCTCTTTTTTTTTTTTTTTTTTTTTTTTTAAAGATTCACCTGATTAGGGCACTCTGGGATAGCACTGCATTGGGGCCACATGATCACCATCAGGAGCAACCTCTGACCTCCTCTGCCTGCAGCTTTTACTTAACCCTGTAGTTTCTGGACGTTTGTGCAGTATTGAAAAGACAGGAAAAAAGAAACAGATAAATAAACATGGTTATAACCTGACGCTAAAACTAAAACCAAGGAAATGTACCTCTTTCTTCAGAATTAAAACTAAAATCTTAAATAAAACAGAAAACTTGATGATGACTTCATGTTTGCTTTTTGTTTTTTTTTAACCTTGGATTTTTAATTATTGCATCTGGTTAAAAAGTGTACGCCATTGCATGTTTGGGGTTTTCTTCATATTCATCTAAACCAGAACTACTTCATCATTGGAAATACTGCTTTGTATGGTAACTTCTGTATTGAAGGGTGGACAAAGCATAACACTTTAAATCTTTTAAAGGGATTCTGTTGTCTTTACTCATGGCAATAGCTCAAGGCAGTCAGTCTCTAACTGTTATTAGTCAGTATGTAACTGTTATAGGTGGTATCCTTTTAAATCTGAAGCATGGACATCTTGTTTATATTTTCTGAATTAAATGCCATGGCACTTGGGGTAGATAGCATGCAATAATATGCCTGAACATATGACAGAGGATTTGTTCTGACTCCCTGTGTTTGTCAGCAGCCTTGCATAAAGGTGTAAAATACTGTCCCTGCACAACAGGGGATGAAGAGCTCTTAATGGGCAGAAGGCCTCCAGTAAGCTTTTTTACTTGCAAGCAGACATACTTAAAACCTGCAACCGTGTGGTTGGGCTGCTGATTGATGTAGCTTACAGGGGTGGCAAAGAGCCTGAAATTCTCAAGATGCCTGGTGTGAGCTGTACTGTTCAGGCCGGCAGCCTTCTGAAAATGTTGGCTGCTGGCAGGGGCAAGGAAGGGAATTCCCACTGATGAACTGTCAACCCTAAAGTGGGATGGGGTGGGGTGAGGAGCCGGACTTTCTGGAAGTGAGGACAAATGCTGAATCAGCCACTGGACAGAGGAGCAAAGTCTTCAATCTGCGCAATGTATTTCTAAATATCCTGTTACGCAAAGCAGCACTCGGTGACTGCATACTTTTGCTCTTCTCTCACGTGCATCGCCATTTTAGTGCTGTATTTATGACTCTGTATTACAGGCTTGTGTGTGCTCTTTCTGAGCTGTCAGCATTGCTGCAGATGAGTCATGTACCCTGGTTACTTGGGGGAATGTGCACACCCTTTAATGCCAGTGCTCCCCAAAAAGTAAACTATGTTTTTGTCACCCAGCCATCTTCTGTAACTGCTGGTGGTGGAAAGAGAAGTGCTGCAGGCTGGAATGGCCTCATCTATGGCAATGCCTACTGGTGCCCCTGAGCTGGAGTTGCAGTCCAGCAGGAACTGTCTGCTGGAGGTGCTAGTGAAGATATAAATGATCTTTGGTTTGGAATTTTTTGTCTCCTTCCACAGTTGCTAGGCATTTTTCCACGTTTAACATTTTGTTTTAGAAGGGTGCCCTTCCTGACCCTGAAAATTAGCAAGGCTCCCCAAGCAGCTCCAACTGTTTCTATGTACCACAGCAATTTCTGAAGCTGCTGCCTTCTTCAGTTTTTTACTTGCCCCTTTGTTGCAGTTTTGGAGGTGCTGTGGCAACCCTGTGCCCATGGGCTGCTTGGGAGACGCTCACTCCCTGCTGCCGTGCAGCAGCTGGTGTGGTTGGCGTGCCAACAAACCCTTAGCCTTCAGGAAAAGCTTTGCAACTACAATGACTTCTCCTTATGATGCTGCATTCCCAAGAAAGACTTCTTGGTGGGTAATACTGGCATTACAACAGTAAGGTGCATCAGTGATCAGACTGATATGTGCTGGGTGCAGCTGTTGTCACATTTAGCCTATTTTTGTGTACTGTCTGATGTGGATTCTGCATCCCCTCAGTTGGGAACCAATGTGGTGTTGCACTCTGGTCAGCTGTGTGGAGCTCACCTGTTTTTTCTCCTGAAGTTTTGGGTTTATTGGTTGGGGGAAGGAAGGTGGTTTTTGTTTTGTTGGGTGTTTGTTTTGGGTGTGGATTTCTTTGGGTTTTTTTGTTTTTTTTTTAATTAATTGATAAAGTTTTCCTATGACTAGAAATTCTGTACAGGAACATTTATTGAAGAGAACATCAGTGTGATGGTCTTAGTTCATGGTCTGTTGTTTGTTATATTGTACGGATACTTGCAGCTCTTTCATGTGTTAAGCGAAGAACAGTGCTTGACTAAAAGGCTGGTGACCCAGGACTGGCAACACATTTGGTAGATAATGTCTGGAGAAGGTAAAGGATGGGCCAGATTTCTCTTCCAAAATGTGTATGAGTGTTGAAGGAAGGAAGGGGATTGTTGGCCATGGATGTGTTGATATAAGAAACTGTGTGGCATTTTTAATGAATTTACAATTCAGGTGTATTAATTTGAGGGTGAGCAGTGCTGGATTGATAGTAAGGGTTCCTGCCCTATGGCTTCCCCCTCCCTGTATTTTTAATGTCAAACAAGGGTATTATGTTTTTTCTAGATACAGCAATGAATAAAATGTCACCTTCTGGCTGAGGTGAAGAGCCATTGCATGAATTCTTTTTCCTTTAAAAACTTTAATTGCCTAGTTGGAAATCAAGTGTCAACAGGTAGGTGGCGTTGTAAATGCAGTGTCCTGACAGACCTGTTTTAATCACAATTAAAATTTAAAAAAAATTAAAAAGGATAAAGAAAACCACTAAAAGGGGGTAAAGTTAGAATGTTGAAAAAATAAAAATTAAAAAAGTATTAAGGAGAGCCACTTGCGACTGGCAGGTGCTCAGCATGCCCCGGGTTACTGTACAGTTCAGTTTTCCTCCTGCTGGGAAAGCTTTTGGCAGTGCCCTGGGCTCCCTGTGCCTGGCACCAGGAGTCGGTGTCAGCCAGTGCCAGGTTTGACCCAGCCTACTGGCTTGAGCAGCTGGGAATGAGGGAGGCTCTGGCTCTCTGCTGAGCTGATCTCAGGTGCATTCACCCCCTGGCACCCCCTGCCTCATGCAGCTCCTGAATTGCTGTTGCAGTGCTGCTGCTGGGGCAGGCACTTGAGCGGTGCTGGCCGCAACCGCCTGGGTCAAGCTGGACCTTCCTTGTCCCCGTTTGGGGATTTCCTGAACTCAGCTTTTGTTTTCCTTTTCCTCCATCACAGACTCTGTTGTCCAGTAGGTTTTTTTCCCCCAAGATGCTCATATAATCATAAACATTGAAGATGTTGGATTTTAGGGAAAATGGGGAATGGTTTTGGATTTGTTTGTTCTGTTCTAGTTTGGAGTTTTTTATAGTTTGGTAGAGTTGTCATGCTGCTGTGGAGATTTCTGGCTTTTTTTTTTCTTCTGGTGGGAGAGAAATGGTCCTGCATCAGTTTCCATCCTTATGCTTGTAAGGATGTTTAGAAAAATAACAGTTGAAAAGCTTGTGATACCTGGGTGCTTATTGTTCATCCCTCTCCTCAAAATATATGGAAGTTGCCTTAGTTGCCAAGGAGCTTGGCCCTGGTGTTGGTCTCTAGCACACAGAAATCCAGTGCACAGCAGGTGTTGCATTGCCTGGGGCTAATTCCCTCTGGGGAAAGCTGGGATTAAAAACTCACTGCTCAGAACTGAGGTGTGTCAAGAAACGGAGAGGTGGCAGGCAGAGTGCTTGAAGGGTTGAGGGACTGGAGTTGTCACCAGCCGGCTTGAAGGGTTTGTAGGTGCTTGTAATGTCTTGAGGGGGATGACCTCTCCTCCAGTCCAGCTGGAGTTCTCAGTGTGGCCAGAGCATGTACTGTAAAGTGGTGTTTGGCATGAAGCTGTGCTTTGAGTGGTTTTGCTTTACATCTCCAGTAGTGTGTGGCTGCATGGCCAGCTGTGGGTGTGCTTTCCGCTTGTGTATGGTCATTGTTTGAGCTGAATGCAGATGCAGGAACTGTAAGAGCTTGTGCTCCTTCCTCTTTGCCCAAATCTCAGCATTTTTTTCCTTCTTTGGGATGTTCAGCTGATAGCCATGCCTAAAGATTCTTAGGTTTTCCATATATTGTAGCTTTGTAGATTTGTAAGATACAGTTGTATGACTTCTAGTACTTTTCCTACCCTCACGTTTTAGAACAATAAGCTAAACCTTTCTAACACATTCTTGAAATTTTATTTAGTCTTAAAAAGAGAACTTCTGACAAGCATGTTTTGTTTTCCATCAGAACTTGAAACATAACAAGAAATAGGGTAAAGAAGACCCTGGACCAACTCCAAGGGGGTGACCTAAGGGTGGGTTACTGGGGCCACTGACCTCCTAGTGGATATACCTGCTAGATATACTGAATAATTGCACTTATAAAAATGGTAGGAATCCTTTGTCACGGGTGCATATGTAGCCATATCTGTGCACCCAAAAGCTTTCATTAAATAATTGCTTTTTATCTTACCACTCTTAATATTTTTTGTAAAGTTTTTGTCCTTTGATTCCAGGCAGCAATAGGAAGGAGCTCTTGAGTTCTCTTCTCTTAATAGTTGAGACCATAAACAAAGCTTCTAAAGAGTAAAAATGTGAAGTATCATCATACCTCTGGGTTGCAATGTAAGAAAATGCATAGGATGCTGTGATCTACATGCAAGAGTATTGTTAATGAGCGAGGTGTTCATCTTCCCTACTTTCTGGGCTTTGCCTTTGCCCCAGACATACTGCAGTTATGTTTCTGTGGCAAATTGAGGGCTCTTCAGATGGAAATGGCCATACAAAGTTGTTGCCATAGAAGTTCAGGGATCTGGAGTGACTTGTGGCACTGAATTGCTGCATTGTGAGGGTTTGAGGTGAGTTGGGTGACCTGGCAGCTGCAGATTTGTTACTGGCTTTGCTGATGAAGAGTACTGGTCTAGGGTGGTCTGATGCAGTGACTTAGGTGTGGAAGTCATTTGAACAGAGGTGGTATCAGTGCAGAGGAAAACAGTACAGAAAAATCCTTTTTAATCTAAAATCTGTGGGAGAGTGATATGCCTGATACCTGATGGTCAGGAGGTTCCATCTCCTGCAATGCAGGTGAGTCTTTCCGTGGGATACAGGCATCACATAGTTACTGTTGTTGTCTCCTGTGAAATCTTGTTAGATTGCTATTTCTTTTTCCCAGTCCTGTGACTTAAAATTGACAAATAATGTGTTTGAGGTGCATGGAGAGAGAATGAGACTTGCTCAGCTCTTTACTCTTCTTACCAGCACTTAAAATGTTACTCTAGAAAGCTTGTACTGCCAGAAGGTGGCCGTTCTTTTCAAGCTTGACAGTGAATGTGTTTTTAGAATTTCGTGTCTTTAGCATTTGGAGTTACAGGTCCCAGCATTAATCTTGGCCATATCTCCAGAGAGTCTGAGACTGCTGAACAGTCACGGGAGGCTGGTACACCAACCTTCACTGGAGAATTTAAAGTTGTGACCAAAACTTGTTTAGCTCTTTCAAGATAAGCATGCAGGCTGAGGTTTACAGTGTGGAGTCTGAAGCTTAAAATCCTGTTTAAAAAAAGAACCAACTGGGAGGGCTTTGTTCAGACACTCAGCAGAAAGCTACTGTTTGTGAGGTTTGCCCAGGACAGAATGGGCAATGAGCTGTCCTTGCAGCTATCTCCATCCCTCTTCAGATGGTTTCCTTCCGTTCCAAGGGCCAGCTCTCTGCAGGATATTGAATGTATATAATTTAAATTTAAAAAAAAAAAAAAGGTGGTATGTGGGGTTCAGTGAATGCTGGCTCCAAAAGGAACCTCTGTGTAACATGGCAAGAATGCATGGGGTTATAATCTAAGAGGTTTGCTTCTTCCAGTTTACAAATTATTTAAAGCTTCTATATAGTTGCCTTCCTCCTCCCTCCTCATTTGGTAAATAAATGAAACTGTGCTTCTTGTTGCCTCACTGATGGTGTTTTCCTGAGTTGAAGCTGATTGTGGCTCTTCACACTTTCACTCAGTTCTTGCTGCGCTGGTCCAAGGAGCTGAGGCAAAGAGTAAAGGGTAGATAGGGAAACTTGTAGTAGAGCTGACCTTCCTGTCCTTAACCCATATTTATTTTCTTGGTTCTCCTGCTACTTGAGATGACTTTTGAGGAAGACCTGGCTGTGTGTGCTTCCTTGCCAGAGAAATTTGGCTAAGACAATGACTTGGGATCAAAGAGTTTTGTTAGGAAGCTGAGCTTTGCATACATGCATTAAAAAAAAAAAAAAAAAAAAAAAATAAAAAAAAAAAGAGTCAGGAAAATGTTACTCCAAGGAAACTTTTAAATTTTGTCAAGTAAATAATTTTTAAAATATCAATTGCATGAAATGCGTGTTTCAAGTTGACAATTTTCTCTGTAAGAAAAACTACTGTGTCAGTTTTTTATTGAAAATGCCAGCTTTTTGTCATGACACTTCATGTGAAGTGAAGTTGCTGACAAATCAGCAACTTTCTGGACATGTTTGGCAAAAGATTTTTATATGTGCAATGTGCATCATTTCAGTTTATAGTGAAAGCAGGTGTCAATCTCTAATATTATGTAGCAAAAACCCACACTTCTGGTTTTAAAGCCTCACCCACATCCAAAGAACAGAGTCCCAAATGTATTTTTTGAACAAAAATCTCTTTGGAGAGAGAGAAGATTGTAGTGAGGTTTTTTGGATTCATTAAAACATAAAAAGGGAGAGGAACAGAGAAAGAAATAGGAAAAGTCTCATTCCTGTCCTATTCAATTTTTCTTTTGAATAGTTTACCTTGAAACAGGATTATTCCCCTCCCTTGGCTGGAAGAAGAGAGAGGAAAAGGTAAGAAGGAAAGGTAAGGAACAGGTAAGGTTAGGATGTGAGCTGAAGGGAAGCTCAGAGCAGATCTTGTTTTCCCTGTCCTTTCTAAGGCATCAGTTGGCTTAAGACAATGAAAGATTTTTCTTCTCGTGCAGTTGCTGGTAAATGGCCACTGTCAACATCATCATCTTCCAGAGATCTGTAAAAGTTTATCACCCGCTTCCAGACTTCCCATAGCTTGGTCATGTGAGAAAAAAAATAAAAAATAAATACATAGGAGGTGAAATTGGAATAGATTCCTTTATTATTAGAAATAGAAAAAAAAAACCAGTGTCCCTAGCCCTCATTCCAGGGAAAAGTGGCAGCAGTATCAACATCTACTATCAAACCTCCTCTTATCACAAGGAAGTACTAAATTGCATCTTTTTAAGGCTTTCCTTGAAATGTGATGCAGATGTTGACAGAAATGAAGTCAGCAGACTAAAACTCCCACCTTTGTAGCAGGATTGTATGAGTATCACATTGGATCCTTGGGCCAACAGGGCATGCTGGGGTGCTGGTTCTTTTTGCCAGCCCCATGCATGGAGCAGTTGTGGGGGCTGCCAGCCCCTCCTCTAACACCACAGCACTTCCTGAGATACCAGCAGTGTCTCTGTGCAGACCCAATGCCACAGTAGTCACCAAGCCCCGTGTGTGCCCAGAGTGCCTCCGGCATAGCTGTGTGTCCTGGGGTGCAAAGAGGATAAGGTGTTCTGAAGCTGCCTGGCCAGGCTCTGCATATGCTCCTGGAACACGCCCCTGGACTTCCACCCAGGAGATGTTGGACAGAAATACAGTGTCATTGCTTTCTGAATGCAATTGATGGTGCTTAGGTTAGCTCTTTGAGTCCTGCTATGGATCCTGATAAATGTGAATTGAATTTCCAGTGCTGGAGAGAAGAGATGAAAAATCCCCAAGAGGTTTGTTGGGTTTTGGTGGTTTTTTTTTTTCCTTTCCTTTTTGCTTTTTTTTTTTTTCTTTTTCTTTCAGAGGGGGTGTTGTTTTGTTTGTTTTCAGATGTGCTAGGTTCTTTGTATTAAAGATAAATCCATGTTTTCCCCTTGACTGGCTAGCTTTGCACTCTTGTCAATACATCTTCCAATCTGAAGATTGTCCGTATAGAAGTGGGGGGATATGGTGACTTCTGAATGCCAGCAAAAAAACCCTTTAAGTCTCCATCTATATTCAACTGCAACTAATTGTAAATGCTTCCAGATATCTAATCTCATTCTTTGTTCCTGGTAAACACTTTCAGCCTTTAAAAGAGCCCTAAACAGAAAATCAGACTCATGTTCAAAACCTAGAAGTCTACACATAGATTTCAGGTTAAGCTGGGGTTGCTCAGACCTGACTTTGATCAATGGTCAATTAAGAAGTTTATAACCCAGAAACTCCTGTTTGAAATGTGCACTGCTGGGTATGGGAGGGAAATAAAAGGCTTATATTAAAAATTGTCTTTCAGCATGAAGTGCCAGGTTTTCTCCACTTGAAAACCCAGGTGGAGTAATTGGCTCTTCTGAAATGCTTTCCTGAGCTCAAGGAGTTAACAGCGTTAAAAGGGGAAAAAAAAAAAAAAAAAAAAAGGAAGTGGAATGGCAGTTTAAATTCTCACACCGGTTTTCCAAACTTGCTGCAGAGCCTGTGTTGCTGCAGGCCCGAGGGGCAGCCGCGGGCGGCCGGGCGCTGAGGGCAGGTGGCCGGGCAGGCCGCTGCCCGGGGCGGGGCCGGCCGGCAGCCCCGGCTGGAGCAGCGCCTGGCTCTCGCAGCGCCATCTTTCCACGGGCACCTTCGGCTGCTGGGCTGGGCTGCTGGGAAAGGCAAGCGGGACGGGACATGGTAAGGAGCCTGTACCCAGGTGATGCTGAGGCAGGGCAAAGGGAAGCCCTAGGCCTCCGGCTTCCCTCCCCTTGGAAAAGAGCGGGTGCAAGGGTTTCACTGCTGTGGGGTTTCACACCCTTCCCCTTGTCAGAGGATGAAGCAGAGGACTGACTGCTCAAGAGACGCCAGCTTTTTTACAGCTGGCTGCTGCTGCCTCCGGGCAGGCTGGGAGCAGCTCTCGGCTATGTGTGAGGAGCTTGGGAGGGCAGCGGCAGGGGGTGGTGCTGAACCGTACCTTTGGAAAGCCAGGTTATTGCAGCCTGCCAATGCCCCTGGGAACACAGAGCTGGAGACGGCCGAGAGGTGGTAATCGCGCCGGTGGTAGTATTTGAGTCTTCCGAAAGCATTCCTGCCCCTCTCGGCGGTGGAGGGGTCACGCCTCCGTCCTCTGACTTTGCTTCTCTGCTGCTGCTGCCTGCCGGGTGGTGAGAGAGAGATGCTCATGCAGGTGCTTGCTTGGTGCTCTGTGCTCTGGCTTTTATTTGCTCACACAGGGAAAGATCTCTATGTTTGTATCCTAAGGCAACGCTGTCGCCCAGTGATTTTTACCCCGTTCTGCTGTTCCCAGAGGAAAGGACTGATGCTGTTTCAGCCCTGCAGAAAAGGGTTGCACCACCTAGGGAAGAGCAGGCCTGTGGGAAGAGGAATGGCTGGTGCCTGTTGAAAGACTGAGATGCTCTCTCTTGCTTGCAGGGATTTTTTTTTTTTCTCCTTGTCTTTGTGCACTTGTGATAATGAGTTAGGCTCTTGGTTAAGGTGTATTCCTAGGCTGCATGGTCCCTGTTACTGTAATCTTTCGCCCAGGATACAAAAGAGACCTTGCTGGGCTGTAGTGTATGCTGGGAAAACTGCGCAGTGCTGCTGCAGAGATGATTCTCTGTGACTGTGGTCCTGCTACCTCTGTTTGTCCAGTCCTGCTTCCCACCATGACTTTTCTCCCAGCTATTTCCAGAGAAGAATGCTTCTCCTTTCCCTCCCCAGCCCTGGGCTGTGTGCAGACAGTTGCACTGAACTTAGCCTCAGAAAAGTGATATTCCTATTAACCATCCTCCATGTACTGTCTGTTCCCTTCTTCCTCTGATAATGGGGAGCTTTTTGTAGATCACCAAGCTAACAGAATCATAGAACAATTTAGGTTGGAAGTGGCCTTTCAAGTGACCCCACTGCAATGAGCAGGGACACCTTCAACTACATCAGGTTGCTCAGAGCTCCATCCAATCTGACCTTGAATATTTTCAGGGATGGGGCATCTATAGCCTCTCGGGGCAACTTGTTCCAGTGTTTTACCACCCTCATTTAAAACCCATTTTCCTTATAGTCAACCTTAGCCAATCCTCTTTCACTTTAAAATAATTGCCCCTTGTCTTATCATAACAGGCCCTGCTAAAAAGCTTGTACCCCTTTTTCTTGTAGGGTATCATCAAGTACTGCAAGGCTGCTGTAAGATCTTCCTGAAGCCTTTGCTGCTCCCTGAATGCCAACTCTCACAGCCTTTCTCACGAAAGTGCTCCAACACTCTGATCATCTTTGTGGCCTCCTCTGGGCCTTACTCAAACAGGTCCATGTTTTTCTTACTTTAGGGACCTCAGAGCGGAATGCTCTGCAAGTGGGGTCTCACCAAAGCAGAGCAGAGGGGTAGAATCCCCTCTCTCACCCTGCTTTGGATGCAGCCCAGGATACAATTGGCTTTCTGGGCTGTGAGTGCCATTGCTGGATCATGTCCAGCCCCTCATCCACCTGCACCTCCAAGTCCTTCTCAGCAGGGCTGCTCTCGATCTGTTCATCCCCCAGCCAGTGTTGATATCTGGGCTTGCCCTGACCCAGGTACTGCATCTTGCACTTGGTCTTGTTAAACCTCCTGAGGTTTCCATGGCCTCACTTCTTGAGCTTGTCCAGGTCCCTCTGTATGGCATCCCATTCCTCAGACACGTAACAGGAGCCCCCTCTGCAATCATCATCATCAGCATCCCCACTGATGGAAACCCCTTCCACAGTCAAGCATACCTTGGCTTTGGAGCAGTGGTTTAACTTTTTTTAATGCTTGATAGTTCCAGATGTGTGAGCAGGAGGGCTGTGAAAGGGCACAAGTGGGTCTCAAGTGTCCCGAGTGGGCACAACCCGCTGTCTCTGCAGATGGCAGCAGCGACGCTCCTTCAGCGGCCGCAGCTGCTCCTCGCTGCTGCCGAACCCACCCCACCGCTCCCACCCCACCTCCATACTCACCCCCCGCGGCTCTTCCTCGCCCTGTCGCGCCAGCAGCACAGGGCGAAGGAGACGGACAGGATGCAGAGCCAGGATGACGGCTCCGCTCAGCAGCGAGGCGGCCACCGCGATGCGGGACCCGGTGCCCGAGGGCTGCGGGGCGGCTGCGGGCAAGGGGCGGTGAGCGGCGCCGGGGAAAGGGACGCCCCTCGCTCCCGGCCGCCGTCCGCCTTGCAGGTAACCCAGAGTGACGCCAGAGAATATTTATTAATAACCATTATAAAAGCTAATGGTGAACGTGGGTGATGCCGCGCCGGCTCAATACACCAGAAAGTTGATGGAAAAAAACCCCCCCTATTAACACATCATTTTTTTTTCAGATAATTAATATAAAATAATCACACGGGATAGAAAATATAAAGCATTTGATGTGTCTTGCATAAAGCATAAGGGTAGCGGAAATTAAGCCCTAAAAATAGAAAGGAGAAAGATTAAACAGGAAAAGTAGGAAAAAATTAAAATGTAATAAAGCCAAAAATGGAAAAAAGTTTAAAAGGGAGAAAAGTTAAAAAGGAAAAAACGTTGAAAAATGTAAAAAGGAAAAATTTAAAAGGACAAAAGGAAACAGCTAAAACCGGAAAAAAGAATGTTAAAAGAAAAGTTAAAAAAGTATTAAGGAGAGCCACTTGCGACTGGCAGGTGCTCAGCATGCCCCAGGTTACTGTGCAGTTCAGTTTTCCTCCTGCTGGGAAAGCTTTTGGCAGTGCCCTGGGCTCCCTGTGCCTGGCACCAGGAGTCGGTGTCAGCCGGTGCCAGGTTTGACCCAGCCTACTGGCTTGAGCAGCAGCTGCTGGGAATGAGGGAGGCTCTGGCTCTCTGCTGAGCTGATCTCAGGTGCATTCACCCCCTGGCACCCCCTGCCTCATGCAGCTCCTGAATTGCTGTTGCAGTGCTGCTGCTGGGGCAGGCACTTGAGCGGTGCTGGCCGCAACCGCCTGGGTCAAGCTGGACCTTCCTTGTCCCCGTTCAGGGTGGCCGGGTCACCCCACCTCCCGCTGCCCTCGCTGCCGTGGTCAGAGCGAGGAAGGCCCCGTGGGAGGGCCGGTGGCCGCACCTCCCCACCCGCGTTAGCGCTGCCCCCGGGGGCTGGATCCCGCCCGAGGGCTCCTTACCCTGGCACTGCGGAGGGGCGTGGCTCCAGGATGAGGTGCTGTCCTGGCGGAGGCAGGCGAGCCTCTCGCTGCCCACCAGCTGGTATCCCTCCTGGCACCAGTACACGAGCACCGAGCCCAAGGAGACGCCTGAGCCTCTGTCCACGTAGTAGTATCCGTAGCGCGGCGGGGGGAGAGCTGTGCATGGCACTGGGGGAGAAGGGGACATATTCAGCGTAGGTGGTGACAAACGCCCCCCAGTGATGCTGTCAAAAGGGCTGCTAGTCCCCTGTGTTACTCCTGCAGGACCTGCAAGCCTCTGGGACGGTGTGTGTATAGTCCAAAGGAAATACATTACAAAGTCTAGCAGTTTTATCTGAAAAAATAAGTTTTTCAGTTGCAAACTCTCTAGTGTGAGCAGCTGCTGAACAGGAGAAGTGAGACTGGAAAGGTGCAGGCTGGGGAGAGTATGCAGAGAGCAATTTTTAGGGGGGAAAGGAAGAGAATGTTTTTTAACATTGGGAGAATATTGTTGGTTGGAACTCAAAACAAAGAAATATTACTCTCTGCTAGAGAGAGAGGCTTTTTTTTTTCATCCCAGCCTTTAATTTTTTATCTAGTTTGTAACTGACATCTATTCAGAGCTACTTAATTGTCCTGCTTAGACCATCTCTTTTGCATTTCGCGAATACCTAGGGAGAGCCAAAAGTTAGGTAGGCTCCAAAAAGAATGGCAGTCTGACCACGTGCTTGCCAACCCCCCCATCTGGATATTCTACCATAAGGCAGAGAAAGTGTGGTAGCAGGTATCATGGATATCATTATCCTCCATTAATGAAAATACTCTGATCAATTCTAATTTAACCAAGCTTAAAACCTGCAGGCAGAAATGTGCTTTATCTAGCTTAGGGGTAACTTTTGTGGGAAATTCCAAATGGAATAGCAAAGCTAATGTGAGAGAAAGGTCTGGTTTCCCTCTGCTTTTACTGAGATGGTGTAGGCTTCTAGTCCAGTGGGGCTGATAAGAAACAAACCAGGCTGAGTAAAATCTTTCTCTCATTTCAGCAGTGCTGTTAACAGGTAGTGCAGATGTCTGTATGAGTTAATTCAGCGGTGCCAGGGAGGCTGCTGAGTGTCTGGACTGGATCTCTTGTATGACTACATTGCCCAGCACCATCTGTTATGACCTTTGCCAACAGTCACCATGGTTTGGAGTATGACATGGGCTCTCTGAGCTGCTGCCAGCCCCGGGTGGGTGGTCACCCCACAGCAACCCTGAGGCCGTATCTCACTGGGAAATGGCATGTGCTTTGCCCTGGAAAGTTGATTAAAGAAAAATAATCACCCTCAGCAGCTGGAGATTATTTGTACTTTTTTAAAAAAAGATCTCAGTTTCTTCCCAAGGGTCGCAGCTCAGCCTCTACGGATAGGATGTGTCCAGTGCACGTCCCATACCCTGAGCAGACAGCTGGTCCATCGTGACAGGCATAGATGTTAACATGGAGGAGGACTTTACTCTCAAAGGAAAACATTAACTGTCGAGTTTCCTCCCTGTGCCTCCTGACTGCTTCTGGTGCAACACGTCTCTCCCGTATCACAGATTCTGCTGTGGCCACCACACAAAGCCTTGTAGCCACTGTGCATGCCCTGGGAGTGCCGCTGTGTCCGACGAGAGAAGCACCATCAAGCCTTCATCCCCGCGTCCCTGCGCCCTTCCCCGTGTGTTCCTGCACCGAGGGGCCCCAGGCAGCCCGCAGAGGGAGAGGCGGGAGATCGCTCATTTCAGTACCTGAGATGTTGCTCTGCACATCGGTCCCGTTGGCAGCGTCTCTGGACAGCCCCTTTCTGACGTGTCCTGCACCGAGTGAGGCGGTCCCGGGCCCAGCAGCATCACTCCAGGCAAAGCTCCAGGGCAGCAGGCAAAGGACGATGCATTTCCCGAGCCTTTGTCCCGTCATGGCTTGGGCAGACACAGCACCATTGGGTGCCCGGCCGCCCCGAGCGCCTGCGGTTTCCCTTTGCGTCTGAGCAGGAATCAGCTGAGCTCTTAGTGCATTAAGCCCTGAGCAGCAAAGCTAGAAGCCGCTCTTCCCCCCGGCACTTGCCTCTCCTCCGCGCCGGCACAAGTCCTGTGTCCCTGCTCCCAGCACTGCCAGCCCTGCTCTGGCCACTCGCCTCCAGAGTCCCATGGAGAAGGAAAACAGGTGTGGGAAAGGGAGTGAGAAAGAGCAAACCCTTAGGATCCATCCTTTACAGCCCCTGTCTGCAGAGACTGGCTGTTAGCATCTCTCTAGGTGCTGGAGCTGCACATCAGGAACCCTTCTCCTTCTCCTCCTCCTCCACTTACCAAAATCCATGCTTGAGCTCACTGCTGAGACTCTTACGCTGCAGACCCTCCTGGGCTTGTCTCTTCCTTCCTGCCAGAACCTAGGGCTGATTTTCTGTCAACGGCAGTGGAGTGGGATATGAGCCATGGGATTCAAAAGGGTTTCATAGCAGCAGTTCCACTGGCTTTGCCACTATGAGAACTGCAGAGAAATCTGCTTTTCCTTTCCCTTTTCTCTGCTTGGCATCTCTCTGCCTGTCATTTCAGGCTCTGATGTTTTATAGGTGGAGGGGCTGTAGTAGCAATCAACTCTTGCCTCCTGGAATGTATGTTGCTCTTACCTACCCCACGTGCCTGGTCACCTGGTCACCCATGAAAAGATGCTCCATGTTGCCTTGAGGGCTTAAGAGCCAGATGTTTTGGAGCAGGCAGTGCCTTTGTGCCAGGGCTCTCCCCAGCAGCCAGTACAGCAGCTGTGTGACCAGCAGGACTTTGAGGTGACTTTTGGAGCATCCCCTGCTGTGGCTGTCTTCTCCCCTTCTTGCACCCCCTGGAGCTCCCCTGGCTCTGTGGGTCTCCCTCCTGTACTGCATCCTTGCCTGTCCTGAGACTTACTGCAGGTGTAAGGGTTAGAGGCTGCTATTCACGAATTGCATTGGCACAAATACAGCTTTGCATGCAGATGGATCAGTTTTTGTTCATTTCTCTTTTTATATCTGTAGTCAGTGTGCTGGGCTGTTTATGGCTGCCCCAGTGGGTTCTGAGGGGGGGAATGTTGCCTTGGATGTGTGAGCAGCTTCTATTTCTAAAACCCATCAGTGGTCTTACTATCTTAGTGTGATTTACTGTAGTGCATAAAGGAGAAATAAAAATGTCAGGATCAAGTTCTTGTCACATTCCATCCCAACACAGGGATGTAGATGAGGGTGTCTACTGAGTGGGAGTTGTGGGGCCAGGCAGTGGCAGGACCTTGCTTGCCTTCCTCCCCAGCACTGGGACCTGCTCTTAGCTTTACTCCCACCTGGAGTAGTTCAGCAGTACGCTGGCCCTCCTTGTACTTGCAGAGAGGTTTCTTGTCACCTCCATGAGATTTTTGGATGTGGGAATGCGTTAATCCTGCTCTGTTTGTCCATCCATCTCTGAGTGGGTTTTTTTTGTTTGTTTGTTTTTGGGTTTTTTTTTTGTTTTGTTTTTTTTTTTCTGGGCTGGTATTTCTGGGCTTCTCTCCAATGGATTTATTTGATTCCTTAGGAAAACCTGTTTCAACCTCCCATGACTCATAATGATCTTGCTCAGAAACTACTTTCATTTCTTCGCTTTTCTGGTTAATCCTTCTTAATCCTTGACCTTTCTTGGCACCCCCTGGAGAGCAGACCAAGGAAGTATGTTCCTGCCTGTCTCAGTGAATACTGCTATATTGCTGGTATTGCTGGTTTCTTGGGAGTGTTTTTTTTTTTTTTTTTTTTTTTTTTTTTTCTTCATCTGACTGCAGGGATTGTACTGTTTGCTCGTGCAGTAAAGGTAAAAGTTTTGAGGCAGGACTGTGTGACAGTGGAACTGTCTGGACTGTGTGCCAGTGTAACCCTGACAGCAGAGAAGCCTGCCTTGGGGCATGCCCTGGGTGCAAACCCTGTTGTCTCCTGGAAGCTGGAGCACAGGCAGCCCCCTGGGCTCTGGGGCTATGTCTCTCTGGACAGAACCGACCCTGAAGTGGTCCCTCTGCTGAGCCTGAGCCTGGGATCTGTGTCCACCTTCTCCTGCCGGGGCTTACGAGCTGGTCCCTCTGCTGCCAGACTGGCAGACAGTGGGAAGAGCCTGGGGCAGTGCCCCTCTCTGCTGCTGGGTGCATCCAGATGTGCAATAGCTGTGGACTGAGCACATGCCAAAAGCGTGGCCTTCAGCCCGGTGTCAGCAGCAGTCTGGCTTGTCACACATGCCAGGGAATGACCAGGCTCAGCAAAACCCCCGTGACACAACAACCACGTTTGTGCTCAAAATGCTGAATAGGTGACATGGATTAACCCTTTGCTAATGCTCTTAAGAGCTAGCCTGCAGCTGAGGGAAATAAAGGGGTTTATTATTACAAAATCAATATCCTGCTGGAGTGGGATTTCAGTGCTGTTCCCAGTTCCTGCTTTCCAGAGGCAGACATCTGCATCGAGCTGGGCACCAGAGCAGGGCACCAGGCTGTTCCTGCAGGGAGTGCAACTTCCTCCAGGGCTCAGGAGAGGAGCATGTCCATGCCCCAGGTCAGTCCTTTCCTTGTGAGGAAGGCTAAGAGGAAGGAGAAGCTAGAGGGGAAGCTGTCATGGCCACGGGGCTGCAGCTTTCCTAGCTCCAAACTCCTGGCTGGTGTTGTCCACCTTTACTGTATATTCCCCGTGGATGATCTTCTTCAAGGACTGCTTCTCCATCACAGCAGCCTGCAAGGCAATGCTCAGCTGATGGTTTTCAAAGCTGGCTCAAGTGTCTCTTGTGTTTGCACTCAGATCTCCCTGCTGGCTGGTGGGGATGCACTGAGGGGAAAAGCTTTCCTGAACCAGAGGCATTTCTTCCTACCTTCTCTTGCGCCCCTTTGAACCTTTTAAATCTTCCCTCTGCAAAAATGTCCCTCTCCCACACTTCCACTACTGAATTCTGAACTACAGAGAAGTTGTGGATGCCCAGAGAAATTGTGAATGCCCAGAGAAATTGTGAATGCTCTGTTCCAGGAAATGTTCAAGGCTGGATTGCATGGGGTTTGAAGCAGCCTGATCTAGTGAAAGGTGTCTCTGTCCATGACAGGGGGCTTGGAACTAGGTGACACTTAAGGTCCCTTCCAACTCAAACTACTATATGATTCAATGAACACACAGGTACTAATTTCAAGTCAGTGACTGTGGGTAATCCTCTTTGCTTGCAGAAGGTTTTGCAGACAGGACATAGAGGTGTTTTGTAACTAAATTAGTAATTGCAAGTCACTTGCTTAGTTCTCTTGCTAGTCCATCCTTCATGCAAACCAACCAGGGCTAGAGCTGTGAAAGAGCAAACTGTTTTTCAGAAAGATGATTGCAGTATTTGGTGTTTTGTTGGTATTTTTTGCACAAAGTCTCCATGACATGCCTCTTCTATGCTGCACCGCTTTTAGTTCGTAGCCCTGAGTTCCCTTTAAACACACCTTTGTTCAACCCCAGTAGCTGGGATTCAGTGCCACAGGTTTGTGAGAGCACTGTGGATGAACCTGCTCTCTCAGCAAGGGGCTTGGCACACCTCAGCAAGTCTGCACCTCCCCAGGTTAGATGTGCACAGCCCTATATGGAGGGATGCCTCTCATTCAGCTTTTGACATCTTCACCTGTGCCAGTCACTCTTGGTTTATCATTTGGGAAAGAATATGGTGCTAATAACACCAAGGCTGTGGGTTCAATCTCTGTATGGGCCATTTACTTAAGAGCTGGACTAGATGATGCTTGTGGGTCCCTTCTAATTCAGAATATTCTGTGAATCTATCCCACCTGAGACTCCAATTTTAAGGTGCACTGGAAGTTTTGGAGGTATTCACTGAAAGCAAAGGGAGCTCCTGTATCAGTGCTTGCATTGCAGAGGCATAAAGTTTGAGTTATGCTTCTCTTAGGGGCATAAACTGAGCCAGCCTTTACTGTCATGAGCAGCTGGCCCGGTCACTTGACTGACAGCAAGAGATATGCCAGACACACAAGTCTAAAGCTATCTGTGTTGTATTTTGTTGTTTTCTTTCCTAAAACATTGTGAATAACTTGAAAAGGTGCGTACCTGCCAATTTATACTTAAAAGTTGTTTGTATAATTGACTGTCATGAATAATCAGTAGTTCACAACACTGCTGTTCAAACATGCATTTTTGCTAATTGAATAATACCTTGTTCTGAAAAAAACTCACAATTTAGTAATTTATTGATAATCCTGTCATATACACTTAAACATGCACATAAATGTTCATGTATACATTATGTATACAATATTTAAATGTACACAGAGACTGCCTACTTTTCTTGCTTATTTCCAAAGGCAGGATATCCAGGCTGGGGCATTTCACATGGACCCCATAAATTTCTGTTTTGGCATATACATTGTGCTGTTTCATAACCTTCATCTAGCTTCCAGATTATTAACCTTCTGTTGGCCAGAGGTTGGTATTGTTAAACTCTTCATTCCTAACAGGCTTAATGTTCAGGCTTTTGGCTATGTAGGACTTACTTATCATGTTTTTTATTAAAATCTACAATCTCTTGGTACTCTAAAAAGTGCATTTTTTGCACTGCAGGATTTCCCAGGTGAGGAAGCTGGCTTTCTGCCCAGCTTTTTTTTTTTTTTTTTAGGAAAAGGATTATTGTTGTTTATTATTATTTTGTTATTCTCATCCTGTTCACTTAACACTCTTTTGTGTGGGCAGTTTCACATGCTAGTCTAGGTGACACAGGTGTTGTTATGCACCCATGCCTTTTGGATGTTAAACAAGTTTAAATTGTTTAAGAAGCTTTGGTTACTGAATGCCTGGGTCTCATCTGAAAACAAGGTTTTGGCAGGACTGAGGAGTCATTAAACAGATGCTGGGCTGAAATTAACAGGTAGGAGACTTTTTTAATAAAAATAAGAAATTACTGAGAAGATAGACCAGCCCCGTAGGAATATTGTGCCATTCTAGTCTATAACTAGATGATCTTTAGGGTCTCTTCCAAACCAGCCCATTCTGAGTCTATGATTCTATGATCTTCCAGGTATTTTCTAATTCAAACCATCCTATGATTCAATGATTTTGATGTCTTAGAATTTATCTGTCCAGCAGGATGTAACTTCACTAATAGTGTTTAGGGCGATGTTGTCCTATCCTGTAATGAAGTCCTGATCTCAAGAGAAGATCTGAGAATACCAAAGCTCTACAGAAGGAATAGGGACTGAAGTTTATTTCAGTTCCACTGCATCCTTTGTGGAGACCAGGAGATATTGCCAATGGCTGGTCACTAAGTGTAGCTGATAACATGCCCCTCTCTGAAGGAGTTCTTTGCAATTGAAGCTCACTGCCTTAGGAAGGCATTAAATGAAATAGAATTTAATCTAAGTGGGGGTGGGGTGGCTGGAATGGTTTGACGGAGCATTAACACCATTAGCTATTTTAAGAAAAGGGTAACTATGCTTTGGGCTATCTGATGGTGATCAGCTTGGATCCTTAGCTGTGTGGGGATAATCAAATGAACTGAAGTAGGCTTTTTTCAATCTTCTGTTTTCTATACCTCTTTGGTGTCATGTTCTGATGACTTGTGTGAAAGGAGAAGCTGCTGCCTTAGTGTTCCAGGAGTCAGTCACACCCACATCCACACCCACACATCCCCCCCAAGACTACACGAGCAGAGATCAAAATCCTTCACAGTAAGCAGCTCCATCAGCCAGTGAGAGTATTCCTTTCCTCACTTTGGTGTACTTCCTGCTCATTCAGGCTCACCCATAGGTTTCCTACAACAGAGGAAGTTATAAAAATAAAGAATTTAATAGATGGTACAGCAGCACATCAGCTTGAGCTGGATGCCTTTGGAGAGGGACCATGAATAAAGAAATCCCCAGGCAATTATATGCTTAAGATTACACACTTGCCATTCATGTGCTCTTAATGCAGTTTTTAGTCCAATGGTGATTTTTGGTTTGGGTCTTCTACTATCTTATTGAACTCTTTCTTTGTCTTCATGCAGGCAGGCCATTGCCTTATTTTATTGAGTTGATGGTTGTAGCATTCTTATCTTCTGTTTTGCACTTCTTGTGCACTTGTTCACTGGCAGAACATGGGGAACTAAAAAAGAGTTAGACTCAGGATAAATACTACAACTAAATAATCAGTGTATTATCAATATTCTTATCAGACTAAAGACAAAACACAGCACTGTACCAGTTACTAGGAAAATTAATTGTATTTCAGCCAAAAGCGTATCTCTATGAAAGTCCACAGCTTGTGGCTCAAGCCTTCAGAAAATCCAGCTGCTCGTGCTAAGCAACTAAAGCTAAGCAAACAGTATTCTAAATCACACAGTATTACAACTATGACTCATTCTATTTCAAATTTATTTAAGCTAAACAACAAATATATGTCAGCACTTCGTCATTGGTTGCTGCCATAAATAAATTCACAATAAAAGCTTCATTCTTTTCAGGCTGTAATAGGGATATCCTACAAGATGACAATGTTTGTATGTCAGCCAAAATATACAGTAGTTTGCATAAGTAATAAGTGAAACTGTCTGGTAATTGAATGTCCCAAAGATGACGACAACGATCTTCAAACAGGCCCAACCCACATAAAAAATGCAAGTTGATGCTGAAACAGAAATGAAGCAACAATTTCCAAGGCTGTGGGGGATGCCTCTCTGATATCCTCCAGCATCCTTACCTGTGGATGAAGTTTTTCTGTCAGGAGTTACTGATTCTCTCATTCCAGGGAAGGGCTGCTTTCCAGATTGATTTGAATGCCAGTCCTCTAATCAGCTGGAGGAAAGGAGTCACTTATATAAGCCAAAGAAAAGGAAATACTTCTGCAATACAGCTCACATGAATAGCTAGGACTGAGCACTGTTTGGCTCCTGAAATCCAGCTTCTGCATCTACTCACTCCATTTCTTTGGGGCTGTTTTGACTGAAAGGAGTGGGAATTTGGGAGGCTTTCCTCTTCTGACTGGTTCTTTTTCAAGGCAGTCGGTGAAGGCAAGCAGAAGGCATGACACCCTCTTCAGACAAAGATATCAACGGGCTAGGTAACCCCAGCTTTGCGGTGAGTCTGCTCTCTGAAGGGTAATTCTTGCATAAAGAGCTGCAAACCCTGTGGAAGGAGGAGAAGGGGAAAGCCGGGGGCTCGGGCTTTTGTCTCGGCTCTTACTGACAAGAATCTGAGGAATGATTTCCTCACTACAGCCGCTGCTGCTGCTGCAGGCTCAGCATACTTTCTACTCTTTGGTACCCTTTTAATTTATTTTCCCTCCACTATTTCTAAAATTATAATGTAGATGAATGGCAATGCACGTGTATCTGTACTGAAAAACAGGTGAGCTTGTGGCTGTGTTTTTGGGTAAAGTATTTTATGTATTCATTAGAAAAATTACAATAGTATTTTAACCTAGTAAAGACTGTGTTTCTTTGTCTTTTGGACCTATTTCCAGTGAGGTGAATTGTTAGAAAGATGGGTGAAGAAGGGATTTGGGTGTCAGCTGAGGAGGGCACCCTGTAGAATTACAGATGTGTAGTAAAAGCTGTAAATGATGTGCCAGTTCAGGGGTGTGTGGTACACTGAGAATGCTGCTAGCTATAACAGTAATGGGAAAGGTCCTGGGACATGACAGCCCTCTTCCTATCCCAAGGCAGGGGTCACCACCATCAGAAACCAAAAACTTTGCTTATTTTCTGTCAACAGATGTGAAGGAGTGAGGTCCTGCAAACATCTTGCTACCTTGATACAGACCACCTGTCTGTGCTACCTTGGAGGAAGCATTTAACTTCCTAGTATACAAGTCCCACATTTCTTGCATAGCTCTGGGTGAGCTTACTACGTGCAGTGGAGCTGCTGTGCCAGCTGTGGGCAAAGCCTCAGGGAAGTGCTCAGAGTCAGTCAGTTTTCTTTCATTATTTTTAACAGGCCCTCCACTTCAACTTGTTCTTCCATAACACATATCAGACTTGTGAACTTTTATGGTTTGAATCACCCTAAAGAAGGTAGAAGACAAAGGTCTTTTACCTGTGGTTCGAGCAGTTCAGTTTCTGACTGCCTTCCTGATCCACTTATTTAAGATGTGATTGAGGACCCTCATGCTGTGCCTGGGACCTGAGGCAATGGAAGGTGTACTGGTCCCCTGGATTCATGGGAGCAGCTGGGCTCAGAACCCCCAACAGGGGTTTCCCTTCCCTGCTCCAGACTGCTCCTTCCTTGTCCTCCTGCCAGCATCTCAGCCTCACAGGCTGGCTGAGGTTGGAGTGCAGCTCTGGAGATCACCTTCTCCAAAGCCCTGTTCAAGCAGGGCTGTCCAGAGCCAGCTGCCTCAGGCTGTGTCTAGACAGTTTTTAATATCTCTAAGGATGGAGAATCCACAACCTCTCTAGGCAGCCTGTGCAGTGCTTGGTCACTCTGTCAGCAAAAAAAATATTGCCAGATTTTAAGATGGTACCTCCTGCATTTCAGTTTGAGTCCAGTGGCTCTGCTCCTTTCTCATCCTGATATCTCCACTCCATTCTTTTCCTGATGAGTCCTGCTCACTCCCCTCTAGCTCCTGGGGAGGGTCAGGCTCTCATGTGATGATCATGCGGGGCTGTTACTGGCACAGGCTCTGCCTGCCTGGAATATGCCTCCTGGTTAATACAGGGGAAATTGCAATGGAAAGAAAGGAGCTTACTGCTGTCTGCCTAGCTTAGCATTTGTCTACCCGTGGTGTTATACAGGAGCAGTTGTCTCCAAGTAACTCCATGCATGGGCAGTCTTAAGTACCTTGCTGTACATTTGTTAATCCATGGCTCAGGCTCTCTTATTCTGAAATGAAAATGTCTGCACAGGGAGTTACTAAGGAACAACTTTTGCTCTTGAAATTCATGCCTGAGTCCAGTTTGAATTAAGTCTGCCTTCACCTATCTATTTTGAAGTGTCTGTAATGCTCCCATTTGCCTAGGCTGGATAAATACACTGTGTTTGTTAAAGAGGCTTCTCCATCGTAGGAATCCTGGAGCAGAGTCTCGGGCTTTAAATTGATTAAGGTTGTTTATTTGAGTGGTACTGCAATAGAAACAGGTCAAGCTGGGTGCTGCTGGGGAGGGACCTTGAACAAAGAAATTCATAATTAATTCAATTATACCCTTACAACCTGAGTTCCCCACCCCTCACACAACAGTTCAATAACAATATCAGGTCTGGGGTCTTAGGGATTACATGGCCTGTTTTCAAAACTGTGTGACCTAAAATGGGACTTTGGAGACTCAGCCAAGAGAATGCAAACCTGGAGGTTTCAGGCAAATGATTTTGGTAATAATCTGCCACACCTGCAAAATTTACAACAGAATGCAACATTAATTTTACATCTCTGTTCCTGACCACAGCACTACCTGTTTGCCTCCATCAGTAGGTAGGCCAGGAGTGTTACTGCAAACACTTTGCTATTGTGTTGGGTATTTTGGTGTCTTGAGGCTCCTGCAGGACTTGGAGGATAAAGAAAAAAAAAAAACCAAAAAAAACCAAAAAGAAGTTTGGTGCAGACAAACTGATTAAGCTTCTCCAGACAGCAGGTTTCTGTCCCTGCCTGATACAGTAGGGCATCTCAGCCCAGAAAAGCCCTCTGCTGCCAGGATGCTGAGGACTTGCTGGTTGGAGATGGGCCAATGAAACAAATGCTTTGGGATCTTAATTAGCTTTTGCATCTGGCTCTAAGTGTTGTGGTTTCCCAGGCAGCCTCCTTCCAACCTATGTGTGTGTGTGCACAGAGGTCAGAGTGGGCTGGAAGAAGGCATGGACAACCAGGAGAATTTGCTCAACTTAAAAGCCGTGGCAAATGAAGCAAAGCACTACTTTGCTTTCCTTGGCAAAATGCATCTTTATATAAATAAACACTGAAAGGCATGCAGTTCCCTGGGAAGCCCTGGGGCTTCTGGCTGCTTGAGAGGAGACCTGAGCCTCCCTGCATAGCAGTTTCAGCCAGCTCCTTTGGCATGGATGCTGGGATTTCCCATTTACTGGTGTCCCTGTGTTTCACCCAGCTCCTCTGGAGGACCAGGGTTTTCTAATAGGACAAAAGGCAGGTGTCTTTATCAAGGCAGAACACTGGTAAAGGTGAGCATAGGGAGACTGAAAGAGAAGACTCAGGAAATGAAATATAAAATGTGTTTATAGTCAGTAATTAGCAGCCCAGGTGTTTTAGCATGTTTTATAAAAATGCTGTTTGGGTGGAATTGCCAGGAGGTACAGAGACCGGAGGACTGCAGTTTTCTCTGATAAGCCCACTGCACACTCTTCCTTGCTCCTGGTTGCAGTTTCTTTATCCTTAACTAGATTTTAATGACATTAACACACTTTGTCTGGATGTCCCTTTGAGACTGAGACACTCTCTAGTGTTTCTTCAGCCTTAGACACACCAGCACATACAAAAATTTTCCATATGTTTTGTGCCTCTGTTTTAATTTCTCCTCCTTGGTTTTTTGTTTGTTTGTTTGGTTTGGTTTTGTTTTTTAAAAATATCATACATTGTTGAAAGCTACACAGGAGGTATTCCTTCCAGACACAGAGTGTGGATGCAAGAGAGGTGGCTGCTGGACATCTACAAGGCCAGGTTCTGGCTAACAAAGTGTCTCTCCTGTTGTCCAGGGTAAACATGGGAGCCACTGCCATTCTTCACCAGAACATGGTGCCTGGGGCCCAGAGGAAGGTGGAGGCACTAGCCACAGTGGGACCAAGCTTGGCTACAGTGTCACAGATGTGCCTCCCTGGTATCTGTGCATCCTGCTGGGCATTCAGGTGAGATGGAAAGCAGGTGGAGGCTGGGAGTAGGTAAAAGTTACATGGCTGTTCAGCCAGTTAATTGGGGTTAAACCTGAATTTGGGAGTCTTTTACTTTCACAGGGCTTGAATGGAGCTCTGAGGCTGGATCTTAGTGAGCTCAAATCCTTTAGTTCACATCCCTAGCACTGACTATTATCATCATGCCCACAGCTACATTGCACTCTTTGAAGTGCAAATGGTCAGGCAGAGTCCTGGGGCTGGGGTCAAACAGTAAATAAGAACTTGTTGGGTACCTTGGCTGAAGGCAGCCAGATGTGTAAGGGGTTTCTGAACTTCTGCCTTCCCATGGCAACAAAAACTCTGCAGCAAGCCACATGCTGTTTTGGCTGGTGTCAGCGCCCAGGTGTATTAAATGACCCAGTGCCATCAATGCCATGTTGGGTAGGCAGCCTGTGGGAAAAGAGACCTCAGAGTCATTAAGATAATGATGGACTGGAGGTTGGTGGAATTTTGTACTTTGTTTTCTTAAAGGGAAATTTGGAGTTTATCAACCAAACACATCTGCATCAAAATTTTAATAAAACATGCCTGTAATGAATAGAGTGTGTTTCTGAGTGCCACCAGTTTCTGAGTGCCACTGCAGTGCTGTGCTCCAAAGTGAGAGTGAACAACATAGGTTAATAATGAAAACAAAAAGAGGTTTTAAAAATTGTTTTCATATTTAGTCATTAACAACAGGTCATTGTAGAAATATGTCCGTGACTCTTCTGACAAATACAATGCCCAATTCTTCCATTCTTTGGCACTCACTTTCTATGGTTATCCATAATTGTGCTGTGTGAGAAAAGCTACTAATGGCAAAAAACGTGTAGCTCCAATTTGCCAACTTTTTGTGTCATCCTTTGTGGTGCAAATAAGACGGACTGAAATATTTGCATTCACTTTGCCTGATTGCTCTCTCCCTGTACCTTGGGAGGTCCCCAGCTTCCTGGAAAAGTATGTCCAACTGCTTTGTGTGCAGATGCTGGGGATAAACTGATCATGTCTGACAGTGGCCTGGGAAGTCCACAGCACTACAAAAAGGTCTTTGGACATGTAAAGGAGGAGACAGTTCAGTGGGTGCATTGCAATTCCTGTAGGTGCTTTGGAACAGCTCCTAACAGAGCATTAAAGCTGCCAAAAAAAAAAAAAAAAAGAGAGAGAATGGGTAATGTTAGTATTGCCCAAGCACAAATCTGTGAGTTCTCTCAACAGCATGGTAATAACACAGAGCCAGTTCTGTGTCCTTCTTCACCTAGTCTTTCTCTGTGGCTCCTAGCACTTCTTGACAGCCATAGGAGGTCTTGTAGCCGTCCCACTGATGCTCTCCAAAGGCCTTTGCCTCCAGCATGACCTACTGACCCAGAGCCACCTGATCAGCACCATCATCTTTGTCTCAGGAATTTGCACCCTGCTGCAAGTCCTCTTTGGAGTAAGGTAGGCCAAATGCAAGAGCTGAGAACATGAGCAATTACTTTGTGCTAGGCCACCACCCTGTTGAAGAGTTTATCAGTGAGTAATTTGTTATCCTTGGGGAATCAGGGTCCATGCCAAAGCACCCTGAAACTGCTGAGAGCTTTGCAGGCTTACCTTGCTGTTCCAAATTTTGCATCTCATGATACTTCCTATACTTTTTGCTGGGCTTAAAAGGAATCTGTCCTCAAAATAATAGAGCATTGCAACATGCAGTAAAAAGTATTTGCTTGTTCCTTACTCCAGGGATCTTCCAGCTGAGGCAGGAGCCTTCTGATTTGGGCCCAGGGTCAAGAGAGCACAAATTCTACAGGAAACTCTAGGGGTGAAGTCCATCTGCCACCACTTAGGGACTCAGGGAAGAGTTCAGCAGCACATCCTGTTAGGTGGTGCCACTTCCCATGCTCAGGGATTTGTAGCATAAAAGGTAAATCCTTTGCTGATGAGCAGCTAGCAATGAGATGAGCATGGAGTTGCCATTCAGTACCCAGAAAAAGAAGTATTTAATGAGAGAGATGACTGCAAGTACTCCCCCCTTTCCAGAAAGATCCTGTATCTTTGCTGATCTTGAAAAATTTCTTCTATTCCTCTTGTCATAACTCTGGGCTGTCTCTCTCTTTCCACAGGCTGTTTTTTTCCTCCAGTATGGTGGGAACCCATGTTTTTTGCTTCAAAGACCAAAGTTATACATTCTTTGGCTTCTGAATCTGAGGGACTCTGGTTAATCACTGGTCAACTGCCAGCTGTGCAAAATGTTTTTCCTCCTCCTGCTTCATTCACTACTGAAAATTTTCTCTCTCTCTTAGTCTTAAGACATGTCTGTAGACAAACTTTCTGAGGTGTTTTCCCCTTCTCCTACATTGCTACAGGATTAGTGGAGGAAGGAGGAGCACCTTGACCACAAAAAACACAGAAACTGGGTTTCCAGCTAAATTCAGGCTGGAGTGCATGACCATCGCTGCTGGTGCAATTCTGAGTTCTCCCAGGCCCTCTCCAAACACCTTGGTGCATTTCTGAGAGCTGTAATATCCCCCTGCTCTCTGTTAACTGGGGATTAAAGGGTAGCAGAGAGCCTTTCTCTCCCACGGATCAATAGCTAATTGAGGTACAACAGATTAAATTAAGTGGTAAGGAGTTGTTTCCATGGGATAAACTTGAACAGCTTTTGCTGTGCTGAGGGTGCAGTTGCCTTGTTGCTGACCCCAACTATAAGGCATGAGGACATCCATGAAGCAATAGCCAAGGGAAAAGCTGACCCACTGCAACCTGCAACTCAGTCATGTTACACAGCATGAAAAAGCAGTAGTGGGTCCCAGACAGTCACTGGAGACACTGTGAGGCTCTGAGGCACACACAGGTCATTTGCCATTATGGTGAGTCCTGCTTAGTAAATGCTTGGACATCATATACTATTGATCAAAACATAGTATTGCCTTCCCTATTTCTGCAGCTTTCCCTCTTGGAAACCCCACAGGAAAGAGTTCAGTGTACTCCATGAGCATCACCTTGGTACTCTGTTTTCCTCTGAGCCTACCCATGGCAACACTGGCTGTGAAATATCTTAGGGACCAATACAACAGGAACTATAAATCTATTGTTAGATTCTAACTCATGGCCCTGGGCCTTCTCTGTTTCTTTTGGTTTGTTTTTTGTGCCTTGCCCAGGAAAAATGTTTCAACGCTTTGACAATGCTTCAGTTGTGCATGACTAGTATAAATATTTGATTTAGGTGACAGAGACACGGTCTGTTACATCTACGCCATCTCTTGTTTCAAGAACGTTAGAAATTCCTCTGTTTCAGGGAAAGCTGTGCCCTGCAAAAGCAGTCACCTGAATTGCTGTCCCATGGCTTTTCTGAACAGGTGCCATGAGAGCTCCTGGCACAAGGAGAGGTTGCTTTGGGGGCTCCTCCTAGGGGTGCTTCCTAAAGGAAGGAAACAGAGGCACCTTGGATATTTCCCTTGGCTGTTTCAGGGATGTTGTGCCCACCCTCAGACAGCTTAGGATTTTTCAAGCACACTAGAGGAATGGTTAAAAAAAACTTGCAGTGCAGTGGGGGTTTATATGGGGCTTTGAGGAGCCAGTCTGGCCTTTTAGGTCTCTGTCTTCATTTCTTCATGCATAGAAAAAGAGGCTGGTGCAGCTCAAAGGACATTGCTCTGCTGTGTAAATCTCTGCATGAAGCCAATGCTGATCTCCTCTGGAAATACAACCTCCTTGCTACTCTGAGGGATTCCCAGAGGGAGAGATACTCTAAGCCAGGAGACATGTGGCATCGGGAGAGAGCCAAGGTCTCACCCAGTCAGTGCCCATGGACCCGTCCATGCAGGTTTCCTTTCTAGTTTCAGTGGAAATGCAGAAGAGGAACTGGCATTAAAACCCAGTGTATTAAAAGCCAAATCACCTTTTCTATCACTCTCAGAATGAGGATCTTTGTGACATGGAGAGTAGTTAGTGCATGCCCTTGTGTGCATGAGCACATTGTGAAGAAAAAAAGCAAAGCAGCCAAAGGGGAGAGAGGAAGCAACTGAATATTGGCCAGATTGACACTGAGCTTTTCTTCAGCATCTCACCGTCTTTCTTCCTTGCCTTCTTCCCTCCGCCAGATATTTCCTACTCTGTGCAGGTCCGTGGTCTCATCAGCCATTAGAAGCACTACTTCTTCCTTAACATGGGGTAGCAGGGTTGGACTGTAGCACTGATGTGCCCCTTCATTGGTGGTATTTGAACCTCAGCTCTTACCCCCTGTCAGTGCTCTTGCATGCAGTGGGCAGCAATTCCTCCCCATGGTTAGTGACACTGACCCGCCACAACAATTCAAAAGATACTGTCAGAGGCTATGGGCAGACTGATTTTTAAATTTATTTTGCTTTCCTTTCTCTCACCCTTATAGAGCAGAGTTTCTAGCACTCTCACTGGTCATTTTTTCCCCTCTGCTTTCTTCCAGGCTGCCTATTATTCAAGGAGGGACTTTAACATTTCTGTCCCCCACCTTGGCAATGCTGTCTCTCCCCAATTGGAAGTGCCCTGACTGGACAAACAACGCCACCCTGGTGAATGCGTCTTCACCAGAATTCATCCAAGTCTGGCAGACACGGATGCGAGAGGTACGTTGTATTTTCAGTGGCACCTGCTCTGTGTCAGGGCTGTTTGCTTTCAGTAAAGTGCCTGACCATATCATGGCCATCACAGCTGGAGAAACTTCTATTCCCAATGAACCTTGGCCCTCAAGCTGTTGCAGCTTTCTAAGCATCTGTTCTCTATCAAAAAAGTTGGTGCTTCACTGCCGCTGAACAGGGGACATGCAGACTTCCTCATGTGATTTATGGTCCCAGCAAAGTCTCCACTGGTCCAGTCAGATCCCTTCTCTATAAAGCATGGTTAGCCTTGAAGAAGAAAGGGAGGGAAAATATTTTCAAGGAAAGAACCCTGTCTAAGCACAGGAAACCTAGTAAAAAAATGCAATGCAAAACCTACTGTAAATATTAAGGAAAGGGACATTCTTGGGTAATCAGAAGGGAGGAGGAAAGGTCAGGAGTTTCACTGCCTTATTCTACATCAATTGCCTTTCTCAGAGCAAGTGACTAAATTTGCCTCTGTGGATCCATTTGTTGGTGTGTTTTCCAAACCTCCTGGGAATTTATGAAAGCTCACCAGGGGTTTGCTGTGCAGCACAGGTTGCTCTCTGCTGATTGTGAAGAAAACCATAAATCTATCACAAGGGCACTGCTGACGTCTCCTTTCAGCCTGGGTCATTTACCCAGCCCCTGTGTTTCTCTTTCCTTTGGAGCTGGGGAAAGGAAGGTGCTCAGCACCACAGAAGTTCCAGCTTGTCACCAAATCTGAGAAGGCAGAGAGCAGCCTTGCCCCTGCCTGAAGCTGACACTGAGATGAGCAGCGTTTCAGAATGTAATTGCTGGCTCCTTGGCAGTGATTGTCAAACACTGGGAAGTTCAGGGTGATAAATGTGTTCCCAGAGTGAAACTGATACTCAGGGAAAAAAAAGAGGCTGTGACGAGTCACTTGCTTCAGCAGTGTGCTGAAGAGACCCAAGCCCTTCCCAAAAGGCAGATCAGTGGAGACCATGGCCCTGCTCCTGTTTTTGGGGAAAGAGCTTTTCCCCTGTCTTGGGAGAGCAGGCAGGAGAGTGCAGGGCAGGTGATGCATGCTTGGGTGGCCCAAGGGGACAGGGAGGAGGTGATCTCTGGAACAAAATTAGCCCTGGGGAGGACTAAATCCATCAGCCATGGGGGGAGTTGCTGTGCTGCTGCTTTGCTGGTCCTTCCCACATGTAATTTTCAGCCAGGTTTTACTGTTGTCAGCAGGAGGCCTCCATGCCAGTCTGTCACTAGAGACTGAGCCTGGTTCTCATGCTGGATTTACACTGCCATGAAGAAAAGGGCTCAACAGCTGGAGCTCCTTCCAACCTCTGTTTTCATCCTCCGTTTTTCCAGGTGCAAGGAACTATCATTGTAACTTCCTGTTTTCAAATCTTCATTGGATTTTCTGGCCTGATTGGATTTCTGATGAAGTTCATTGGCCCCCTGACAATTGCCCCCACTATCACCTTGGTTGCACTACCTCTGTTTGAGTCGGCTGGAGAGATGGCTGGGTACCATTGGGGCATAGCATTCCTGTAAGTCTCACATCTCTGCGGGAAAGATGAGAGTACACAAACCACCTGCCTCCAATATGAAACCAAACATCACAGTCCGTAGCAGAGTTCCCCTGGGTTCAAGGTTTATTTGTTGAGCACTAACATGTGACAGGCTTGTGCAAGGCAGCCATGTGACATAGTCATTCTCCTCCAACCCACAGGAGGCTAAGCCCTCAGCAACAAAGCAAAACCCAAACATGAGTTTAAAAACCACTGATTTTTGTAAAAATACAAAGTTCATATGTCAGTAGAGATACAAGCCTTCCCCATGTGTGTGCAGTCTCCATCATCGTTGTCTACACACACTGTCTTACATACCCATTATTTAAGTTTAAAAGACATTCCTGAAATGACCAAGTTGAGCATTCAGGTATTCTATGTTGAAATAGCTGGTGCTTTATGTATTGTCTTCACATGAGTAGGAAGAATTGTTCTCTCCAGAGTCATAAGGCTGCTGAGCACTTTTATTTATGCAAATGGACAAAGTGTGCTCTCACGCAGTCTGTCTGGACTCTGTAGCATTAGAAACCACAAATGAAAACCAGTTCCTCCTCAGACTTTCTCCCTCCAGTCATCCAGTGCTTTGAATTGTGTATGTCATGGAGTGTCTTTGCCGAGAAGTGAGGATAGAGTTTTCTTTGCACTGTTGGAATTCTGCCCGTCCCTGACTATGGCACCTACAGTTTGTCACTTTTTCACGTGGAGAAAACTACCAGCTTTCCAGTGAAGTCAGTGCACTTCAGCTGGTGCAATTGATTTCTCACCAAATCCTATCCAGATTAATTCACTCCCTGTATAAAATTTAGATTTGTTGTAAAATAATGAGCAGCCCTTCAGAGACCTGGCTAACCCAGGAAATGTCCGTGGTCTTCTACCAGCTCAGCAGTCAAAGTGGAATGCCCAGTCCCTGCCCTCTCTCCACCTGTGGTAGCCTCCAGCTTCATCTGGTTGACCTCTCTGGGCAAAAGGCACATGGGGGGCAGGCTGTGAGTGCACCCAGATGTGCTGCTGTTCCCAGATGTGTCCTACACAAGGGATGGAAGAGGAGCTGCAGCTGCAGTTACTTCCCTCAGCAGGAGCCCTGGGTGCTGCCAGGGACACACAGGAACACCCCTGCCATGGAGGGCCCCTCCGTTGCTCAGCGCTCGCAGACAGAGAGCCATGCTCTCCCCTTCTTGGCTGGCTGGGAGGGCTCTGAGGGCACCGTGTGCAGCCCCACAGAGCCACCATGGTTTTTTCTTTCAAAACAGCACAGGGGATTTGCACAGCCAAACCAAATCTTCTTCTTTTACGCTGTGTTACAGGAACTTTTTGTCCCTTGAAGAGCAGCATAGGTAAACCTGAAATCAGGAAATAATAAATTCTGTATTTCTAGTATACTGAATTACACAGGCAGAACCTGAACCTTGCATATCTGTCAGGCCTTTCTTTTACTTATTAGGCATTTTTTAACCTTTCTGCAACTGTGTTGTACTCACAGACACACTGCCTGGGGTGTCAGTCTTGAAACAATAAGGGTAAAAGAGTTATTTGCAAATATGCGGAGCTCTCAGTAGATTATGATGGAAAGCTTGTTCCATATCTGGCTTGGTGGAGTGGGGAGCCACCCTCTGCTGCTGGGGGCCTATTTTTATGGGTCTTCTGGAGTCTTGGGTTCTTTGGTAGTTCTGTGGGGACAGGTGGGCAGCTGGGCACCCCTTTGTTTATGGTCTCATTTCCCCTCCTTCTAGGACTATTTTTTTCATAGTTCTGTTCTCTCAGTACTTGAAACACGTTGCTGTGCCGCTGCCGTCTTACCAGAAAGGCAAAAAGTCCCACTCCTCTCCAATCTACCTCTTCCAGATCTTCCCGGTATGTTGGGGATCCTGGATACCGGGGAATTGTGTCAGGGACTGGCCTCACCCACCTCGGGCTGCCTGGGCTCTTTCCACTCGTGTCCAGACGAGTGAATGCTTCCCAGCTGAGCCTGTGTGGTAAGGGGCAGACAGGAAAAAGCTCCCCATGGCCCTAATTATTGGGAGGGAGGGAGAGAAGAAGAGAGGGCCACCAGGAGCTCCTGCTGCCTCTTTGTCTCCCTTCCGTGTGCAGGGAAAAGGGTCGGGTGGGGACACATTGCCCACCGCAGCCGTGCTGAAGACGCAGGCATAGCCTAACCAGACCCCCCTGCTGCTTGTGATGGGCAGGTGCTGCTGGGGCTCTCCCTGAGCTGGCTGCTCTGCTACGTGCTGACAGTGACCAGCGTCCTGCCTGCGGCCCCCACTGCCTACGGCCACCTGGCCCGGACAGACAGCCGTGGGGACGTTCTGTCACAGGCTCCCTGGTTTCGGCTGCCTTACCCAGGTACCACTGCCTCCCCTTCCCCATCCTGCCTCCTCCTGCTTGCGCCTCCACCTACGACTACCCGGAGGAGATGAAATGTCAAAAATCAGGCGAACACCCACAGGCATTCCTGCTGTTCTTCCTTCCCTGGGGCAGATTTCAGGGCAAATGAAACCATGAATTTCCACCTAAACCGAGCTCTTTACTTGCAGGCCAGTGGGGAACGCCAACGGTGAGCCTGGCCGGGGTCTTTGGCATCCTAGCCGGCGTGATTTCCTCCATGCTGGAGTCCGTGGGAGATTACTACGCCTGTGCCCGCCTGTGCGGGGCCCCGCCGCCGCCCAAGCACGCCATCAGCCGCGGCATCGGCATGGAGGGCATCGGCTGCCTCCTGGCCGGGGCCTGGGGCACGGGCAGCGGCACCACGTCCTACAGCGAGAATGTGGGAGCCCTGGGCATCACCAAGGTGAGCCTCGCCCAGCGGGGCGGCTGCGGAGCCTCGTGGAGAACTCCTCCCCTGCGGGGCTGTGTACAGGACAGCGGTGCGCGTGGCTGTGTGCTGGACCTGGGGAGTGATCTCAGGCCACCTCCCGAAGGTTTTATAACTTATATAAAACTTAGAACACAGGAAAATTGTGCCTTGGCACACTGGTGACCGGCTCAGCAGCACTACAAATGACTTAACAAAGGTGGGCAGTGCTTCCCTTTCTCTGCCTCTGGCCTGCATAGGGAATTAGTGCACTCACTCAGACACCTGGCCTAGGTAAGGCTGAAGAGACAATGCTACATCTGAGCTAACCTCTACAGGTGCAGAGAGGGAGAGGAGAGAAAGGGAAAGGGTGAATATTAACAGGGCTTCAAATTCCACCACTTCTGTAACACAAGGATGGCAATCATGTGAAAGGTAGACTATTTCTTCAGGGTTATAAAATGTGATTGCAAAGGTTTGTGTGTGAGTCCCTTGAGTATATTAATTGCACTTATCAAGGAAAGAAATTTCCAGAGATAAGCTTGACAATCAGATCAAAGATTTTCACTGAGCTTTGCAGCCATAGGATAGGCTGACAGACATCTAGCTACTAACTCGACAACATTTTCAAATCATTGCCAAATAAGCAATGTCATGCCAGCAGAGCTGTGAATCAGTAAATAAATGCAGCTTCCTTACAGTTTCCGCTCTATAATATTGCTTATTTCACTGGATTTTATAAACCTCACTCACAACAAGCATTTTTCACACATTGCAGTGTAAGTGTTGGACTGAGGTGGCTGCCTCAAGCACCAAGGGCTGCATGGATGTCTGCATGGAGTCCAGTTCAGCCTATCACCACGTGTGCATTGTCACTAGGAAGTCTGTGCACACTAACCATCTACCTGAGCCAGTTCTTTCCTGGTGTGTAGTTTGCTGCATGTATTGTATGTATGGGATGCTGCCCAAATTCATAATTACCAGATTATAGGACATGCATTCTCACAATGTATGCTAAGTCCTCCAGGAGGACATGCCATCCTTGCTGATTCAGGATAAATATTTCCTTTGGATCCCACCTTTGCTCACTCTGTCCACACTTGAAAGAGCTGAAAATAGAGTGTCATCTCAGTCAGTTTAAATCAGTGTAAACATCTGGTTGGGACAGATGGAGGTGCTGAGAGCACAAGGCAGATTTAATTTATTTTTTTTACGTGGGAAACACGTTGTTCCATAACAATTGGAAACACAAGGGACTTGTTTCCTCTCTTAAACAGAAATGTCCAGCACCACCAAAGAGGTCTTTGGAGATCTCAGATACATACAGGGGCTGACAGATAAGGCAAGGAGAAGCTTCTAGAAGCTGCCAAAATGCAACATCTTACACGGCACCAGGCACCAATATTTAAATTGCTTGATCAGGCCCAGTATGCCAGTACTGAGAACTCCTTTCCATGAAAAGGAGGTTTTTAAAGAGACCTCAGAGTCACCACATGTTGGGAGGGACCCTGCAGTATCTTCAGCCTTAAGAAAGAGAACTGATTTTATTGTTCTTCTGACATAATTGAAACAAACTCCAAACTAGTGGCTTTAGCAGAATATGGTCACAGTGCTATCACTGGATTAGGTCTTTTGCCTTTAAGGCAAACTCCATATACATGGTAATTCAACATTTTAGCAAACCAAGACTTGGAATCTTTGTTCTAATCCTGGAACAAATAGATCTGTGGACTTTTATTAATTAACATTTAGATGGTAATAGTGTCCCAGGATTTTAAGCCAGAGTATAAAAAGCAATGAAGCACCTGAAGGCAATGCACGATTTTATTTTGAAACTCCACACCAAATCTTTTTTATTTATCTTTCACAATCAAGAAAGACTTAAAATATTTTAAATGGACATGTTTAGGAAATACCTAAAAAGAGACACTATTAGTTACTGAGAATATTCTTGTTGAAAGCACTCACAAAAAGCCTGTCCTGTAATTAGACATTCTTTAGATATTTAAAGGGAGGGATTAAAATATTTAATTGAACTATAAAATGTGTGCAGAGAATTACAGAGCTTCCCTGGCACAAATATTGTAAGTTTAGCATGATTCTTTAGGCAGTCCAGGTTTTGGTGTGGGCAAGGCATATCTTGGCTTGGAAGTTTAACGAATATTGCTGCTTTCCTTTTCACTTTCCATATAAATGTCTCTTTCAACCCTTTGTTTGGCAGATACTTCTTTTCTTTCCTATACATATGCTTTAGCAGATCTGAATAGAGGGCATGGTTTGGTGCTTCATTGCATCTTTGTTGTAGTGCTCAACCAAGAAAAGGCCACCCTGACTCTTCTAGGGGAAAAAATGAGAAAAAATGGTTTTTACTTGTCATGGATTGACTCTGGCACAGTTCCCCCCTCTCCCACCCAGATGCAGCTGGGCAGGGGAGAGGATCTGATTTGCTCACTTGCCGGACTCTAAAGAGAAAGTCTCTCTGGGAGTGCTCTGCTTTTAACTCCTGTGTGTTCTCAGAGGCGTATTCAAGTCCCCAGTGGCCACACCAGGTGCCAATCTGAAATTTGGCCACTGATTGGTTTGACCATAACTTCCTAAGACCTTACTTCGGGGTCAAACCATGACATTACTGAAGATAGATAGGGACAGAGCAAAAGACTTCCTCACTTCTTATTTCTTGACCATAGAAAGGATATATCAGATCCCAGAGCTTAGGATGGAGCAGCCAGCCAGCTCTGGTCTCTGAAATCTTGGTCTGCAGGGAATGGAGGGATCATTGTGGGATACTTCATTGAAAGCCACTTCTGGATGTCAATCCAAACGCTGGTGGAAAGATTATCCAGTTAACTGGCTGGAGGGTTGCAATGCCAGGCTTGTGTGTATGCCAAGATATTTCTAGGCTAAAGCAAGAACAAGTGGGTATTACTGTGCTCTTAATTTAATTTAAAAAAATTATTTCAGTTTAATAGCAAACTGTTGAAGTTCTGTCAATAGTAGGAGAGAGGGTAACACTGAGTAAGTAGGTGTGGTGCTTTCAGAGTGCCTTTCATGATAAATCTTTGTGGTGCATAAATACTGATGCTTCCCATTCAGTGTCAGCATCCCAGCTCACCAGCAGCTGTATCCAGACCTGTCCCTGAACATGCCAGGCAGTGCTAGGGCCAGAGCTGCAACACCTATCTGACAGGCTGGCACTGGAGCCTGCCCCCCTAGCCTTTCCCTGCGTGATTGCCTCCTCTTCCTCTTGCCCAGGTAGGGAGCCGAATGGTGATCATTGCTGGTGCCTGTGCCATGCTCCTGAGCGGCATCTTCGGGAAGGTTGGGGCCATCCTTGCCAGCATTCCCATCCCTGTGATTGGAGGCATGTTCCTTGTGATGTTCGGAGTTATCACGGCAGTGGGCATTTCCAATTTGCAGGTAACAGCTGAGAGCACTGCTGCATCCCTGCTGAAAGGGACTTAATTTCATTGAAACAGAGAATCATAGAACAAGCTGAGTTGGAATGGACCCATCAAGACCATCTTCATGAATCAACTGCTGGCCCTGAGCAGGACACCCCAAGAGTCACACCATATCCCTGAGAACATTGTTGACTTCTCACTCCCTCACTTCTTGAGCTCTGTCAGGCTGGTGCTGTGACTGCTTCCCGGGGAGCCTGTTCCAGTGCCCAAACACCCTCTGGGTGAAAAGCTTTTTCCTGATATCCAGCCTAAACCTCCCCTGAGTCAGCTTTATGCTGTTTGCTGTCACAGGTCATGAGAGTTAAGAGATCAGTACTTGCTCCTCTGCTTCCCCTCACGTGGAAGTTGCAGACTGCAGTGAGGTCTCTCCTCAAGTCTCCTCCAGGCTGAACAGACCAAGTGACCTCAGCTGCTCCCCATATGGCTTCCCCTCCAGACACTTCACCATCCTTATGGCCCTCCTTTGGGCACTCACTAATAGCTTTATATATTATATTGTGGTGCCCAAAACTGCACACAGCACCCTCAGTTTCAAGTCAGTTTCTTACAGACTGTCAGCTGTAACCACACTGCAGCAAATGCAAATATTTATGTTGGCAATTCCTCAGGTAAAGATGAGGGGCTGTACCCAGAGGGGCTAAATCACAGAGGGCTCCCTTGTATGGGCAGGGCTGGCTGGCACTGGGGACTGCAGGATCACAAATGCCCCAGCAGCATCAGGGCTGGGTCTGTTCCTGATTCCAGTGTTTGCATCCCACCATGTCTCATAAACACAACAGTAATCCAGAGTTTTGTGCATGTAATTTATTAAATTTCTCTCTGCAGTTTACAGATATGAACTCCTCAAGAAACATCTTTATCTTTGGATTTTCTCTATTTGCTGGCCTCACAATTCCCAACTGGGCAAGCAAAAATAGTGCTTTGCTGGAAACAGGTAAGAAGTGACATCAGAGGCATTTTCTGTATCATGAAACAGAAGGAAAGGCTGACCAGAGAAATATTTTTAAATATTTTTTTTTCTGATAAAATGCTGAAACTTGTGCTTTGACTGTTGCCTGTTTCTTTCTGTGAGGGCTATTTTTGCCTTTTGCTCTCATGCATAGCTCTGGTGCAGAAATCTCTGCTTTTGGTCAGTGACTGGGTTCTCAATGAATGAGGCTTTCTTGTGTGCTCATACACAATAAAATGTTGTGCTTTCAAAATGCAAGAGTATACTCCTCTATTAAATTCCATCAAGTTCACTTTATTGATATTTTCAGTTCTCCAACAACTGGTCCTTCGCTGTGTCCTGTGTGACTGATGTCTTCATCACAAAGGCCAGTGTCCTCTCTTAAAGCACATGTGGTGTGCTGGGTGGGCTGATTAAATAAAGAGCTGAGCCCACAAACCCCATGCTCTATAGATGCGCTATCAGATGCTCAGTGCCACTGGGCTTTGCTCCTGGCCAGCAGCCCTCGAGGGGAAACATCACACCTGATGATCATGTGGTGAAATCCCATGCTAAATACACTCACATTTTTTTGGGAACTGAAGCTCATGCTTGTGTAGGGATCTGTTAGGTGTTACGTTGTACAGGTGCTGAATGTGTTTGGAGCAGAAGGTGGCTTTTTTTCAGACAGTGCTGGGGTCTGCACTGTTAATAAGCTGTTAATGTATTTATAAGCCATCTCCTGCCCACTGTGGGTCAGTGAAAAACCATGTAGAATAAAACTGTAGGTCTGAAACTGACTGTGAGATCATTCTCCCTTCCACTCCCAAATCTTACACTCCGCTTTGGATTTGCAGGCCTAGTCCAAGCAAGCCTAGTCCAAGCAAGCATGCAAGCTTGCAGCCTCTTGGCAGCAGAAATGTTGCTGGTAAAACAGGTAAAATGCTCTTCCTACACCACTATCTAAATCTTTGGTTTTTTTTCTAGGAATCATCCAGCTTGATCAAGTGATCCTGGTGCTTCTCACCACTGGCATGTTTGTAGGTGGACTTCTGGGCTTTATCCTGGATAACACCATTCCAGGTAGGATTTGCTGAAATGAGCTGCTAGTTTGTGCCTGTCCTAGGATTTGTTCCCTGGTACTTTATTTCTTCATGACTCCTGTTCTATGGATAGGAGTTGTGCTCGCAACCATGAAACACCGTGTGACTGCACTCCTCCCAGAGAAGGGTGAGGAACAGGAGACATCACTGAAATGGCCTCTGGCTGGAAAACAGCAGCTTATCAAAAATTAAATAATTTGTCAGGAACAACTCAGGCTGAGGAAAAGGTTTATTTGGCAAATATGTCTTTCATGGAAAATGCCAGCCTAAAACCATATTGCTAGTTAAAAGCAGAGAGGAAAGCAACTACAAGAAGTGGAAGGAGCCAATGTGTGCCAGTATGGGAGCTGCTAAAACTGATGCTGAACTAAATCCAAAGCAGGATTTAGGAAAGGCTGGTGCTGGCCCTCACAGGCAGCGAAGAACCTTGTATTTTCATCTAGCATGGGGAGGGAGGGCATAAGAATAGGAGAAGAAACCTTCTTTTCTGCTGCAGGAAAAGAGCAGAAAGAAAGGACGCTCTGTTAACCAGATTCTGTTACTGTCTGGGGCTTCCCAGAAAGCTAATCTCCTTTTGGCTTATTAATTTTCCCACAGCCTTCAATCATCAGCTCCTCTTTAGGCAGAATTTACAGGTAATGCTCACTCCCTTTCCCAAGAGGTTCTTTGCTGTCACAGCAGTTACAGGCACTTAGGAATTCCTTTGGCTAGGGTAAATACCTGTGGCTGACTAGTAACTGCTTGCTAAATCTGCTCTGAAGTGTCTGAGCTGTTAACATCCAGCCTTGCTTTCCCAGCACTGCATGAACCTCCCCTTTGAACAGTTCTTGGATCTCCTATAGCAGGTGAAAACTTCTTGGTATACATGATTCCCATGGAAAGCAGTGGAGAAGGCTGCTTATCTGGAAGCTGTTGCAGAAAGAGGGGTATTGTCTGGAAGCTCGTTAGTGAATATTTGTAGAGATCTTTGGAGCTGGAAGGATTTAAGTAGAAGGGATTTGTGTTTTGTCCTGTGTCTGCTGGGATTTGAGCAGAGGGTGTGAGGCACACAAGGCAGCCCTGTGCTGGAACACCTGCTGTTACAAACACAACAACCCAACTTTGCTGTTGCAGGAACACAGGAGGAGCGGGGGCTCCTGGCGTGGAAGCAAAGCCACAAGGGAGGGATGGAGAGCTCTCAGCTCGTTTCCAAGGTCTATGATCTTCCATTTGGCATAGGCACCAGATACTGCAATGTCTCTTGGTTTCACTATCTCCCTGCTTGCCCCAGAAAACTGTCTTGTGACAAGAGAATGGATGAACTGAAGGCTGCTGGGCAGAAAACCAGTGTTGAAGCAAGCTTAGAAAGAAACTCTGACATTGGTACTGATACAAGGATATAAGCACCCCGCCAGAAAAAGAACTCATCTCAGAAACGGGTCTGAAAGTATGTCTGCAGACCCTATCATCTGAGCATGGGCTGGCAGCTGTTAGAGGGGGGAAGCAGGAAAAGGATAATATCTTCCTCTTCCCAGCTCTGCTGACTGCACCACTGATGGCCTTGAGGAAGTAAATTTTTCCCTTCCCTATTCCTGCCTGCTCACTTGTAGGAAGGACCTGAGCCCTCCTGGGGAACACCAAAGCCCAGGAAATGCCTAGGAAAGATTTTTTCTTTCTTTCTTGCACTGACCCTTGGGCACACTGTTCAGCTCAAGCAGAAAGGTTTCCTGTCCCCTGATCTGGCAGCTGAAGGAGCTTCCCTGAAATGGGCCCTGTACCACTCTCAGGCATCCCTTGGGTTGGGGTTAATCCCCAGCACCTTAAAGCAACACCCACCTCTCACCTAGTGTTGTATACCTCATCCTGGCCAAGGGGAAGGAGCAGGTGCCTCTAGGTCATCATTCATCTCATTCCAAATTCCCATAATTTAGCCAGTCAAATGAATGTTGTTGTAAGAGAGGCATCTAAAGTTAACATGATGGTTTGTCTTCTGAACCTGTCTCTTCTGCCTCAGACCACAAAGGAACTCTAGAGGCCTTAGTTAGGTTCTTGACCTAACAGAAAAAAACAGCTTCCTGAAATGTATTCTACCTTTGGCATGCTGGGAGGAGTCTCAGGAGAACCAGTTTACTGTAGGGCACCCAACTCTACAAAGATGAAGGAATCCTCATCAAATATAATGGAGAAAACACTTCTGCTCACAATCTTACACATCCCCATGCTGCTGCTGTGTCCTGTGTACCCTTGCTGTACCTGTTTGGTCTAGTGTGGTGATTGTGTGGTGATAAGCACTTCTCTGGAAAACAGGTGAGCAGGTTATTGCTCCTATTCCCTATTAGCTTTAACCTGCAGGGCCACATGCAATGTGATCACATGTGGTCCTGGGTTGCCGGTGCTGTGTAATAAAATTGTTGCTGTAGCATAAGCTTGTGTTTCCTTCATTGAGATTAATACTTGCTTTTTGTAAGTATATTAAATAATAACAAGTACACTGTAATGGTATTTCTCAGGGTGGTTGCTGGAGTGGCAGGTGGTATTCAAAGAATCACTTGCAGGCTGAACTCTTGTGAACTACGATCATGCAAGAGGAGGGACCAAAGTAATGTGTTCTTCATCTTCTTCATCTTCTCTTTAACGTCATTACAATGCTTCTAGCCTCAAAGCAATGCCAGCATGTATAAATGGAGCATACTGGGAAGGCCAGGGAATGGCAAGGCTGCACCCTGGAGAACTCTGAAGAGCTCTTAAAGCCAAACAGGACCCCTGCAACCCCACTTTCAAACACAGCAGTGTGGCAAACATTCATTTGGGGGTGCTACCACAGCCTCAAGTGCAGGGACAGAAAGGCACTGTAGTGTTTATTCTTCCCTTTACTTCAGTACTCAGCTCACGTGTTTTTGCCCGAATGTGACATGCTTTTATGCACCAAGGCAATGCTGGGCCACAGTCCAGGCCTCTTGGACACAGTCTAAAAGTTAGACAGCTGAAGATAGATAGCTGAAGTTAGGTAGCTAGGCACACCAGCTGTAGTTTAGGTTGTAAAATAGAACTTCCATCCTTTCTGTTTGTAATGGCTGGTAGCATGACCTCAACATAACCACTATCAGAATACAGCTTGTTCAAGTCTGCAGAGAGCCTTTAATGATAACTCAGAGATGTAAAGGACTTTATTCAATTTCACAGCACTTTTAATTCCAAGACACTATCTGAGCAGCACTACTCATCCAAGAATTAGATGTGGAAGAAGAGCACAGGGCTGATCACTCAGCTTTACACACTTCACAAAGTAAATAATCCAAAGTGTATTACTGTGTCTGCACTTTTTTGGCTGACTGGGGAGTGGGTGCTCACTGCTGCTCTCCTCATAAAGAGACAGAAGAGCCTCATTCCACTCTCTGTGAGGAAATCCCTCTTTCCTTGTGAGCCCAAGATGAAAAATTGCACCAGAAAAGTAATCACTGCCAGGAGGTGATTTTTGCAGGTTGCAGTTTGAGACCTGCATCCTGTGGGAGTGTGCAGACTGTCACTGATCTGGCCTCTCCCTGCTGCTCTTCCCACACATTATGCTAGGCAAGGTCACTTAACTGTACATGCCTCTGTTTCTTTATGAAGCAAGGCTAAACATTAAATAGCAATGGGTAAAAACATTTATTAATAAATAGCTAAGACCTTTAAAACCTTTAAAAAGTATAAATTACTCAACTGATATATCAAGAAATATTAATGAGGGAAGGAGAAGTCAATGGTAACAAACCACTTCAACACAGTGTCTCCACACTCTGCTTAGAGAGGTAGCTCAGTGAGGGAGGGAGGCCTCCTCCTGTGCCTGCTGTACCTGGCAGTGCTTGGCAAAGCTTTAGTGGAGACACTGTTTAGAAATCTTCATCATCGAAGGTCTCAGTGCACCGCAGCATCACGGTCTCATGATCATAGTGAAGGTCTTCTTCCTGAAAGCCCCCCCAAAGTCAAGCAGGATTAAAAACCAGAGGAGATCACTGAATTTCAAATATACAGTGAGTTGGTCAAGAGCTGATGTACCAGGAAATGCAGCATGAGCCCTCCCTCCTCTCTGAATCAGCCACCAGCACTTGATCAGTTCCTGAGGTGCCTGATGAAAAAGGCTCAAATTTTCTGCCAATTTCCTTCTAAAATCACAGGGCTCCACCCTGTGTCTATTTACATCATCTAGACAGCTGTTACTGACTGTGGTAACAAGTTTGTCATGTAACAGGCTCTGAAGGTATGAGAGCTTCCTTGAGGCCTTAACTTCTACCAACTTCAGGCTTTGCTCCACTTTTAGCAACAGAAGGAAGGGGTCTTGTCTTTTACCAGTTTACAGAGAACAAGTGGCTATTGAGAAATCAAAGTCTGGAAGATAAAAGTATTCATGCCTGCAGTCCATCTAGTTCACCTTCTGCATTGAGCTCTTCAGTGAAATACTGCTTTTAAAAATAGGTGCTGTTTGAAAATGTATAGCTTAAGAAGCACTAAATACCACTTGCTTGTTAAGTGATTCATCTAAAATCCATAATTTTAAAAGAAAGCGTGCCTTTGAAGACACAAAGATGCTCTGTACTATTTAGAAAAAAAACCCACTGAGTATAATTTAGGTAAAATCTTTTGATCTCAGTCTAAATTACCTCTTTACTGCCTTTGCTGCAAAGCTTCTCTGATGATGTGACCTTAAGACAACAGCTCTTGAAAAATTACAAGACTGCTTAACTAATCTCATGCTCAGAAATATTTCTCTATCATATACTGTAGAAGCATGCTCCTGTTCTCATTTTGGGGTTCCTGCCCTTTTAACAGCTCTCCCTTTCCTTGTCCAAAAATATTTCCCCCCTCCTCTTGTGAGTCTTTCTGAAGCTTTCCATTCCAGTGGGGTGCAATCCCTTGGCAGCCTTGAGAGCCAGGGCAGCAGCTCAAGAGGAGCTGTGACTCTGAAACAGTGACCATCCAGAATCCAACAGCAGTAGGTGAAGTTTGTACCTGGACAGTTAACCAGAAATGACAGAACATGGCAGTGGCATGAATGACCAGCAATAAAATCCATCACCTCATCAGCTCTGCAGATGAAAGATGAAAGGAAAGGAGACCCATGGGCTGCCTTTTGTATTTCAATGGGGTCACATCACATGCCTTACCTTGGTACTTACTGTACTTGCTTCCCACCTCTGTATCTCCTACAAGGTGTGTGCACAGTGTACTGGGATACTGCTTTATCCTTGAGATAACTTATGCCAGCACTGCCCAAACTCCTGTGCTAGCATGGCAGCAGCACAGGTACCACATCCAGGGAAGGGGAATGGTCTGCAGAGGTTCAGTCATACCCATAAGGTAAGCAGGACGGGTTCCTTTCCCTGCCAAGTCCAGGAGTCTCTGATGCTCTGAGCAGCCCAATTTCTGGGGTAAGGTGAGTAGCCTATACTGATCTCTCTGCTGCTGCCTGAGTTGGTGTGTTTCAAGCTAGCTGGAACATCTTCTATCCCTGCTCTGCAACCACTTTCATAACTGTCTCAATCTGTTTGCTTTGAGATGGATCCGAATTTCTGCTCTCAAAACAAAAAATATCTTGTCAGTCATATTTTCTTTTTTCTACTCTTTTGCCTCTTGGCAGCACTGTCTAGATGTGCTGTTCTGCACTCTAAATCAAAACAGATTGTGACCTTCATATTATCTAGCCTGGGTGATTTCTGCTCAAAGTCCCTTTTTATTGTCTTATCACAGATAACTAAGAGTTCCTGTAAAATAACCCTTTGCAACTTTTTACTTCCTTTTGGATCTTCACAGTACAGTCAACTGCCAATCTGCAGTACTTTGGGCTCTTTTGCTGCTTGTCTTCCCATCACTCCCAGTCTTATTTTAAATCTGCCTCTTTAAACCTTGAAAGAGGCATTACCTCTTCCCATACCACCTCATCTGGGAGCTGTGAGATGGACCTGGGCTCACACATAATGAGGCAGCCTCAAGAAGAAGGACAAGATGAGACCATGCCAGGCATGACACTCACAAAAGAAATTTTAAACCAGAAAATGCCATATCTTGCCTAAAGTTTTTCTTTCCTTTCTAGGCCTGCTGAGTTCATAGTCATTTACTTAAACACAAGAAGAGCTCTGCTCTTACACAGAACATAGCTATTCACAGACCAAAGGGCTGTGGAGATCAGTGCCTGGTCTCTGACAACAGCCAGCAGGGGAAGTTTAGAAAAAAGTGCAAGAACTGGGCACACAGTGTGCTCTGTTTTACAATAAATGCTCATAAGTTATAGCAAACTGTGCTGTGAGGCCCTCCTGCACTGGAAATTGAATTTGTTCCTTCATTTAGTAATTGCCCATGGACTGATGACCCTGGAGTCTAAATGTGGTAATTTGTACGTGCAAATATTTTTAATATGTTGTTTGTTCATTTTATTTAGTGCTTTCTAGTTCTTCTTGTGTTAGACACAATGAATAATCATTCTGTGTACTGAATCCACACCATGTACGAATAAAATGGTCTTGCAGTAACCCTCAGTCTTTTTTTTTGTAGAGAAGCCCTACTCTTAACAGTATTCAATGCCTTTTCCTGTGCTTGCTGCCATTCTCTGCACCTTCTCTAGTGCTACTATCTCCAGGATGGGGGAATCAAATGGCACACAGCAGTCTCTCTCTGACAGATTCAGATATTGGTGCAAAACCAGTTTCTGCTTTGTTTTCTGTCTCAACTACCCCTCATCACAAACCTTGTATTTGTCCTTC